TGCCCATGTCGCCATTCTATCGCGGCATGAGCCAGCAACGCCGACCATAAACCTACCGTCTCCAACACTCCACTATAAAGCATGAAATTAAGCCCGCCCACCAACAGCAAGGTGCAAAAACTAGCCAAGGGGAGGGTGGAACCAAAATTCCTTGAATATTCCAGGTTTTTCCAGAAAAATAAAATTCCCGGTTTTCCAGGTTTTTCAAGGTAGTAGACACCCTGTACATACTCATTAATGGGTAATAGATACTTATCAATGGGTAAAAAAGTTATTCATTAATAAGTTAAGCCACTTTTCTTCAAAATGGGTATTTTTACCCCATTAAGAAGTTCTTTCAAGTTAGCGTGTAGGGGACGGAACACTCCGATTTGTTCGACACGGAAAATAATTCGTTACTACTTCCCTGGCGCGAAAACGCAATTTTTTGTGTTACGTAATATATGAACGAGCCCAAAGTTGCGTGCATGATGTCTATCCTTGTTCTGTGAATCACGCCATCCTTTTTTTTTTTTTTTTCTTTATTATAGAGATTTTTAGCATGAGGCTAGTTCATCTCTTTTATCACGCCATCCGAGGCGGTATTAAACCGCAGATACAAAAGCCTCTCATCTTGCCGTAACCTTCTTCGAGAAAACACTCAAGAGTGTCCCCGAAACTCGGACAACACACATCACTCGATCCAGCATCCATTGACCAGTCGCGTCAATTTATCCCAAAATCCGTATTCGTGCATGATCAGCCATATCTGGTCTCAGGTCATGATTGTATTAGTAATATTAAGTCGTTGCTGTTTCTGGGCTACGCTTTTGCTTGTTTATTGCTCAAATCTGCATTATCGCGCATTTCAGTCGTTCGTTACATACCAAGTGAAAACGTAATCATGTTTTGTCGCGTAGCGTTATGACTCTGAGCTCGATGACCCTGGACGGAGCGTTTTTGCTTACTGAGCATAAAATTATGGGTTTAATCCCAAGCTCTTTGTCATGCCTCTTAAAATGCATAATCACTAAATAAAATGAATATTTTCTTTCGATAGTCGGCTATAAATAGAGGAAATGGATGTAATGTCGGCCTAAATGCCCCTAATTTGGGCCCATACATAAATTCAGCAATCGACTAAATTTTCAATAGCGCCCAAAACTATTCGTTAGTACCGTCCTAATGACGCGTTCATCTAGATAAAATTGATAAATAGCAGATTTTTAGCGATGGGCCCAATATTAGATCCATAGGCCAACAATAGAGCCTTACTTACCTTACCAATCAGGCTAAGGCCTTGTTGTCCTCTGCTGTCCGAAGAAGTCGTCTCCACTCTACTCGATCCATGGCCACAGTTCGTCAGCCTCGTAGTCTGCGAAGGGTCCGCAGGTCACCTTCTACTTGGTCGATCCACCTTGCCCGCTGCGCGCCTCTTCTTCTTGTTCCTGTTGGGTCGCTTTCTAGAACCATTTTCACTGGGTCGTCGTGCGGCATTCTTACGACGTGCCCAGCCCACCGTAGTCGCCCAATTTTTGCAATGTGGACGATGGATGGTTCTCCCAGCAGCTGGTGCAATTCGTGGTTCATTCGCCTCCTCCACGTTCCGTCATCCATCTGCACTCCACCGTAGATGGTACGCAACACCTTCCGTTCGAAAACACCAAGGGCGCGTTGGTCCTCCACGAGCATAGTCCAGGTCTCGTGGCCGTAAAGGACCACCGGTCTAATCAGCGTCTTGTAGACAGTCAACTTCGTGCGGCGGCGAATTTTATTCAACCGGAGCGTCCTCCGGAGTCCAAAGTAGGCACGATTCCCTGCCATAATGCGTCTTTGAATTTCTCTGCTGGTATCATTTTCGGCGGTCACCAGTGAGCCCAAATACACGAACTCATCGACCACCTCGATTTCGTCACCGTCAATCTGAACTCGGGGTGGGAGGCTAACATTGTCTTCCCTAGAACCTCTTGCTTTCATATATTTTGTCTTTGATGCGTTGATGGCAAGTCCAATCCGTCTAGCTTCAGCCTTCAGTCTGATGTACGTTTCCGCCATCATCTCAAAGTTCCGTGCCATAATGTCAATGTCATCGGCGAAACCAAGGAGCTGGATGGACTTCCTGAATATCGTGCCACTCGTGTCTATCCCAGCTCTTCTGATCACACCTTCTAACGCGATGTTGAACAGCAGACACGAAAGTCCATCACCCTGCCGTAACCCCCTTCGAGATTCAAAGGGACTCGAGAGTGTCCCCGATACTCGAACAACGCACGTCACTCGATCCATCATCGCCTTGACCAATCGCGTCAGTTTATCCGGAAATCCGTACTCGTGCATAATCTGCCATAGCTGATCTCGATCGATTGTGTCGTATGCGGATTTGAAATCGATGAACAAATGATGTGTGGGCACGTTGTATTCGCGGCATTTCTGCAGAACCTGCCGAATCGCGAAAATTTGGTCCGTGGTAGCGCGGGCACCCATGAATCCCGCCTGGTATTGCCCCACGAACTCTCTTGCATATGGTGACAGACGGCGGCATAGAATTTGGGAGAGTACCTTGTAGGCGGCGCTCAGCAGTGTGATCGCGCGGTAGTTGCAGCAATCCAACTTGTCGCCCTTTTTGTAGATTGGGCATACGACACCTTCCATCCACTCCTCCGGTAATATCTCCTCCTCCCAAATCTTGGCAATTACCCAGTGCAGCGCTCTAGCCAGTGCTTCACCACCGTATTTCAATAGCTCACTTGGTAGTTGATCTACACCAGTTGCTTTGTTGTTCTTCAGCCGACCGATCTCCTCCTCAACTTCTTGAAGATCAGGGGCCGGTAGCCTGTCGTCTTCTGCGCGTGCTCCAAGGTCTGTTGCCGTGCCACCTTCGTTTTCTGCTGCTTCACCGTTGAGGTGCTCGTCATAGTACTGCTTCCACCTCTCAATCACCTCACACTCGTTCGTGAGAAGGTTACCGTCCAAGTCCTTGCACATATCGGCTTGCGGCACGTAGCTTTTGCGCGAACTATTTAGCTTCTCGTAGAACTTCCGTGTGTCGTTTACGCGGTACAGATTTTCCATCGCCTCGCGATCTCGATCTTCCTGCTGACGCTTCTTCCTTCGGAAAACCGAGTTTTGTCTGTTCCGCGCTTGTCTGTATCGCTCCACATTCAATCTCGTGCGGTGTTGCAGCATTCTCGCCCGTGCTGCATTCTTCTCCTCTACTAACAGTTTGCATTCGCCATCAAACCAGTCATTTCTTCGGTCCGGGATTGCAGTACCTAGTGCCGCTACAGCAGTACTACCTATGGCTGAACGGATGTCCCTCCAGCCATCTTCAAGAGAAGCTGCGCCAAGCTGCTCTTCCGTGGGTAGTGCAACTTCCAGCTGCTGCGCGTAGTCCTGGGCAACTCCGGTGTCCCGTAGTTGCTCAATGTTGGGTCGTGGCGTTCGACTTCGACGTGTGTTATGCACCGTCGAGAGTTTTGAGCGCATGCATACTGCAACTAGGTAGTGGTCCGAATCTATGTTCGCACTGCGGTGCGTGCGGACGTTGATAATGTCGGAGAAGAATTTCCCGTCGATTAGAACGTGATCGATTTGGTTTTCTGTATGTTGGTCAGGTGATCTCCAGGTGGCTTTGTGGATATCCTTGCGGGGGAAAAAGGTACTTCGAACTACCATACCCCGGGAGGCTGCAAAGTTCACGCATCGTTGGCCGTTGTCGTTCGATACGGCATGCAGGCTGTTTGGCCCGATTGCCGGTCTATACATTGCCTCCCGTCCTACCTGAGCGTTCATGTCGCCGATGACGATTTTGACGTCCCGTTGCGAACAGCCGTCGTACACCTGCTCCAGCTGCGCATAGAACGCTTCTTTCTCGTCGTCGGGTCTCCCTTCGTGTGGGCAGTGCACGTTGATGATGCTGTAGTTGAAGAAACAATAGAGCCATTTCCGCTAATATATATTTAGATTGGAATCAATGTTTACTCCCCAGAATTATCCCTAAAAGTAGTCTGACTGAGATTTTCAAAAGAGTCGTGAGTGTCACTAGTATCCAATCTACGGGTTATTCCGAGATTCGAAGTGACTTTTGACATTAGTGAAGTGAGAAGAGTCACGTCGTGGTGCCACAGAGAAATGTGGCTTTGATTTTCAGCCCGGATGCACAATATAAGATATATTAGCCTTCCGAGGTAAGGAGGAAATGAAGCGTACACTGAGGCAAATAGACTTAAGAATTTCATAAGTTTCAACTTATGAACGACAAATTTGAATTTCATAAGCGTGACTTATGAAAGATTTTTGTCTAACATAGCGTAGCTCTTATAACCTTTTAGCCGTTCCAATTTCTTAAGCGTTAAAAGACGAGTGGTCAATACACGAGCTCCGTTATCTCAACGTCCATGGTTCGGTTCCAGTCTACTCTGGTTTATTATTTTTTTGTCAACATTATTTTTCATAAGGCAATTGAATGAAATTCATACTGATTTCTTGTGGCTAAAATTCATAAGTGTTTCTTATGGAATTCTTACGTTCTTTTGCCTGCGTGTAGGTGAAATTTCCTTCTCTAAATCCATATATAAGGTGTCGCACACCTCTGTACGGAAATTTTTACCGAATGATAAACTGAAATTGTTGTTACGCAGGCGACATGCGTACTTACTTCCAGTGACTACTCATCTGAATGATGTAAAATTGGACGTTCCGAGTTGTTCATGAATGCATCCTGCATACCTTTTTTCCGATTTGAACATAATGAAATGTGATTATACCTTCGAAATCCTGTAAGTTGCTTCCATCTTGACAGCATTCGCATCCAATACTTTCATAAAGTTGGCAATCTTAAACCAAACGAACCTTCCCATTGGGGAAATGGAAGCAAAGTGTGTTTTGTATTTCAACACTCATCACCAAAAAAGAACAAGTTGTACAACATGGCGCGCTCATGTTGGTCTACAGAAAAGCAAACAATTATGATTAAAGTAGATTCGAAACGATGTTACTTATTGATTGCATTATTATTACAGCATCGCTGCCGCTTGCTGGGTCGGTCATTACGCAAAACGGCTGCTCGAGACGGTGTTCGTACATCGGTTCTCCCATGCTACCATGCCGCTGATGAACCTGTTCAAGAACTGCACATACTACTGGGCTTTCGCTGGCTACGTGGCCTACCACGTGAATCACCCTCTGTTCACCGAACCGAACACTGTTGTCATGTACGCTGGCTTGGCCGGATTCATAGTAAGTCAATTATTCAATGCATCATATTCAATCAGGAACTCACCAAGCTATGCCCATTATTTTAGGTCAGTGAGCTAGGCAACTTCTCCATCCATATGCTGTTGAGAAACTTGAGACCAGCTGGCTCGACAGTTCGCAAAATCCCAAAACCAGACGCCAATCCATTGAGTCAACTGTTCAAGTAAGTATTAATTTGATATTTAGATGTAGCTGGAAACCAACCTAACGGTCACCTTATTATTCCCCATTAGTTTCGTGTCCTGCCCCAATTATACGTACGAATTCTTATCCTGGCTGTCGTTTTCGGTGATGACCACCTGTGTCCCAGCGCTGATTTTCACCGCTGCCGGAATGTACCAGATGACGGTGTGGGCCATCGGCAAGCACAAGAACTATAAGAAGGAATTCAAGGAGTACCCGAAGTGCAGAAAGGCTATTCTGCCGTTTGTCCTCTAAATTTACCTGGTTTGATATTAATTCAATTGAGAGAGCATTTATGCGGAACATTCTCTTTGCATTTTGGTGAACGGTTTGGTTTTTCTCTTAAGAATAGTGGCTAAGGCGAGTTTTAAGGTTTAGTGGAGAAATAATAACTGAAATAGGATATGGAAGCAAGGTATGAGAGGTAAATTAATTATTTGAACGAAGTTTCATAAATTATGAAATTCAACATAGTGCTACCATTCTTCATCTAATGGATAATTATCGTTTTTGTTAGTTTAAATTCTAAAAGCCACAAAGATCCTATGACCTAAGATACATCACATTGTAACAAAAAAGAGTGGTGGGTATTTTGTTTCTGCTTTGAAATGTAGAATATTATAGAACTAAGAAGACCTTTTCGTCGTTGGTGATTTTCATAAAATACAAGAATTGCATGACCGTAAAATAAAGCTCATTGGTTACTGTAGCAGATGACATTTGTTTTTATAGTTTGATTTATCACACTTCTCGTAAAGGCTTGTGTCAAAATAATATTTACGCGTAACTTTTCCATGTTCTATGCAATCCTTATGGACCGGGGGATACATAGGGGAACCAGGGGCATTATGAACACCCGGGCAGATTCGACACCCTCTATGTTTTCCAAAACATCAACATTTTTTTTCAATTCAAAGGCAACAGATATTTCATTCCTCTTCTGAATAAGTAATTTATAGAGTGAATTAATTTCAATATTGGAAAAAACGCACAGGCTGCTGTGTGCTGAAAATCATAATTCTCACGCGAGCAGATGACGGTAATTAGACTGCAGTTATCATTTGTTGTGGAATACTCAATTGTTTTTGTTGTTCCCACATATATCGTTGATTAATTTTCGGTAGGTACTTTAAAATAATCAAAAACTAACGATAAAATCTAGGGACACGCAATAACCTTTAACTCCAACGCAGGCAACGGCTGTAATAAAATTAATTCCATTAACTACTGCTTTAATTACATTAATTACACAATATAGAACATTAACTACTTTTTAACTCCATTAATTACAGTTGAAATTTCGTAGTTAATGTACATTAATTACATTTACATTAACACTTTTAATTAAATTAATAACGGATACATAATTTTAATTACCGTCAGTACTACTTCAAAACGCTTTATTTATTTGAAGTACTTTTGATTGCATTTTAACTTCAACGCACGGGTTCTTTGTATTGCGTGCCCCTCGGATAAAAGATCTTCTCCCGTTGGGGTAGACTTTAAGGTGTGTGTGTGTGTGTGTGTGTGTGGCTGTGTGTGTGTGTGTGTTTTTTTTTATAGTAAGGTTTAGGAAAGCTTCAAGAAGCCTGGCCTGTAGTGAAGGTGGCACGGTGTGGTATCCACTAGTTGCCTAGTGCAGCTCCACTAAAACCCATTCCTTACTCTCTCCTCTGCCTGGATCCCCCCGGGACCACTGTGAAGCGACTACTTCGGGGGGTGGCTGTGCTCATGCACTTGTCGTACTCTCAGCGCTAGATGGCGTTGCTAGATCGCTGCTCTTCTCTCCATTTACGCTGCAACTCTGACATAATCTGCGTGACTGCCCCCAAGAGTCCTCCTCTCGACACATTTCATCGACGACATTCTCCACGTTAATGACGGGCATCTCCGTTCGCACTGCCTCGAACCTTGGACAGTCGAAGACCACATGCTCCGGCGTTTCATCGACGTTGCCACACTCCGGACAGAGGGGTGATGCTGCGTGTCCGAACCGATGCAGGTATTTCCTGAAGCAGCCGTGGCCAGACAGGAACTGCGTTAGGTGGAAATTGACTTCTCCGTGTTTTCTGTTCACCCAGGTCGAAAGAATCGGTATTAGTCTATGTGTCCATCTACCGTTCTCCGTCGAGTTCCACTCCTGTTGCCACTTAGCCAATGACTCCACTCTCACAACTTTCCGTACTCTTCCGGCTTCTCTCTGCCTGTAGCACTCGCTGTCGTCCGCCAGGGTGATGCCGATAGGGATCATCCGGCGATAACGCATACTGCTTCCGGCGAGATGGTTCTGTACGCACTCACGACTCGCATGGCCATGAGCCGGAACGTACTGCTCAGTTTCCTTTGGTTCTGCTTCGTTTCCAGCGCTGGAACCCAGGCTGGACCTCCATATCTCAGTATCGATGATGACACGCTGGCCAGAAGACGCCTCTTGCTACTGCTGGGACCAGCGTTGTTCGGCATGATTCTAGCTATCGCGTTGATGGCCTTCGAAGCCTTCTCACAGGCATTTTCGACGTGGCTGTTGAAGTTTAGCCGGTCATCGATCATCACTCCCAGGTATTTTAACACACGCTTCGAGGCTATGGTGTGCTCCCCGACGGTGATTTCTGCCCGCTGTACCGCTTTACAGTTACTGACCAATAACACTTCCGTTTGGTGGTGGGCTATTTGCAGCTTCGCTCCTTTCATCCAGTTACCAATCATGTCGATTGCCTCGGTTGACAACACTTCCACCTCTTCCAGCGTCTCGCCTGTTACCGTCAAGACGACGTCGTCCGCAAAGCCAACGATCTCAACTCCTTTGGGCAGTTTCAGCGTTAGCACGCCGTTGTACATCCCGTTCCAGAGCGCTGGACCAAGGATGGAGCCTTGTGGAACTCCCGCTGTAATCCTAATCGATCTCTGTCCCATGTCTGTCTCGTAGACCAGAACCCGGTTCTGGAAATAACTCCTCAGGATCCTGCACAGGTAGTCAGGGACCCTCATTCTATGCAGTGCTTCGGCGATGGCATCCCAGCTGGCGCTGTTGAACGCATTCTTGACGTTGATCGTTATCACGGCGCAATATCGATCTTCTCTCCGCTTCTGTTTGGACGCCTTTTCAGCTCTCTCGACCACTGACCGAATTGCATCCACCGTCGATCTCCCTTTCCGGAATCCGAACTGCCTCTCCGACAATCCATGCTCACTCTCCGTGTATTTCGTCAGCCTGTTTAGGATGATCCTCTCCAAGAGTTTTCCGAGTGTATCCAGCAGGCATATAGGCCTGTATGATGCTGGATCCCTCGGCGGTTTTCCTGGTTTCGGCAGCAACACTAGCTTCTGTATCTTCCACCTGTCAGGGAAGTGACCCTCGTTCAGGCATTTCTGCAGCACCATCCTGAACATGTCCGGGGATGACTGGATCGCCGCTTTCAACGCTACGTTGGGGATTCCATCCGGACCGGGAGCTTTCTTCACCTTCAATCCTTTCGCCACTGCTACGAGCTCCTCGTTGGTGATTTCGACGTTATCTCCCTCTCCTTCTCCGTACGGTGTAGGTGGCCAGGTTGTTGGGTCGTGCTTCGGGAAAAGTCCTTCCACGATGACTTTCAGCTTCTCTGGGCACATTTCAGCGGGCATCGTTGGACCTCTGATCTTCGCCATCACGACTCGGTATGCGTCGCCCCATGGGTTGGCATCAGCGTCTCGACACAGCTCCTTAAAACAGTTCAACTTGATCTGCTTTATCACTCGTTTAAAAGCGGCCCTGGCCGCTCGAAACACTTCTCTTCGTTCCTCTCTGTCTGCTTTCGTTCTTGCTCTCTGAACACGTCTTCTGGCTCTGAGACAACTAGCGCGGAGAGTGCTAAGTGCCTCGTTCCACCAGTAGACTGGACGCCGTCTGTTATTTGGCTCCAGTTTCCTCGGCATGGTCGTGTCACATGCTCTCACTAACGTTTCTGTCAGCTCGTCCGCATTTAGATCTACGGGACTCCCGTCCACACGAAGTGCCTCAACGAACAAATCCTTGTCGAAAGCTTTCGTCTTCCACTTTCGGTCACAAGTTCTCGTCCTCCGTACTGCCACAGTATTCCGTTGGCCGATGCCATATCGTATCGCCTGATCGTCGCTATGGGTATATCCTTCGCACACTCTCCACTCCATGTTTGCCATCAGCGACGGACTGCAGAAAGTAACGTCGATAATGGATTCTCGGCCATCTCTGCGAAAAATGCTACTGGTGCCTTTATTGGCCAGCATAACTTCCAGTTTTGCCAGAGCTTCCAACAGACTGTGCCCTCTTGCATCGGAACACCTGCTTCACCACTCCACTGCCCAAGCATTGAAGTCTCCTCCGATGACTACCGGTAGTCGTCCGACCAGCTCTTCGGTAAGTCCATCCAGCATCTCGTGGAACTTCTCCATCGTCCATCTGGGGGGTGCGTAACAACTACACATGAAGATTCCGTTGATTTTGGCGATCATGAAGCCTTCGTATGAGCTCGCAACCACTTCTTGAATGGGGTATCTGCCCATAACTTGTATAGCAGCCATCCCAGCTCTATCCGCAACCCAGTTACCGTTATCGGGAGGGACTCGATACGGTTCCGCAATGATTGCAACGTCGCACTTTGTTTCTGTTGTCGACTGCCACAACAGTTGCTGAGCAATGTCGCAATGATTGAGGTTTATTTGGGTTACCTCCATTACTGTTGGCCTGCCATCGCCTTTTTGTATGCTAGGCATTTGAAGCCTCCCGTCGTATGATCGTTACCGTCCTCTTTTTTGCAGAGCATACACCTCGGATGCTTCGTGCAGCCTCTTGCAATATGGCCTTTCTCTCCGCATTTCCTGCACAGATCAGATCTGTCAGGGCCATTGCAGTTTCTCGCCTGGTGACCGAATCCCATACACTTGAAGCATCGCTCCAGTTGCTTGGTAACCCGAGGAGAGTTTTTTTTTTTTTTTTTTTTTTGGCAAGGAGGAAACCTTCAAAAAGGCCATCGTGCCACCGCTTGACGACTGGGCGCACAGTCGCGGTGACACGGTGTGTGGGATTCTTACCGCACTAAAACCTCCTTAGACGCCTTGCCCTTTTCCCCCGGAACCACTTGTCGTATTACTTCGGAGGGGGCCGTGCATTACGCACCTCACTTTACCTCAGCTAATTGGCGCTTCCAGTTCGCTGATCGTCTCGCCAATTTGTGAGCCATTTATCTCCCAGCGTCACGTTCTACTCGGTTATCCCTGGTGGTGGATACAGCCTACTCTGACGGAGAGTTCTCCCGGCTTCGGCTTTCAGTTCGCACTTGTGTGAGCACATTACTACTTTCTAGTTGGTCTTCCCGCCATTTTCGCTGCAGCGCTGACATGATCTGCGTTACTGCTCTGCTGACGGCGTTAAAGGTGCCCTCCTCTCGACACATTTCTTCGACGACATTCTCCGTGCTAAGGGCGAGCATATCCTCTCGCACATCATCAAATCTAGGAGAGTGTGTGTGTGTGTGTGTGTGTGTGTGTGTATTAGGGTGCTTCATTCTGAAAAAAGTGATGAATTTCTGATGGGCCACCCTCCAGTTCGATTCATAGCCCCAAAATATGAACCTGTGCAAAAATTGGTAAAGATTGATGAAGGTTTAGAGGTCGCGCCAATGATTTGAAATTTGTATGGGAATTACTATGGAAGAATTTAAAAAATCGCTTATATCGCTATAACTTTGCTTCTACTTGTCCAAATGTCTAAAAAATTTAGTATGTTATTGCTATGGCAATAAACAAAAAGCCTACAGTTGCTACGCTCAGTTTTGCAGCGTATCAAGAATTATAAAAATGTGAAAAAATGGCAAAATAGGGTAAATTGACAGATGAATATGTACAAGGCAACAACGCCAATTTCATCGCAACAACAACAGGCTTGTTGATCATTGTCATGACAACCACATATTTTTTTTTTTCAACGTTTGGACAACTACAACCAAAGTTAGAGCAATGTAAACGAAAATCAATAATTTCCCATACTAATTCACCAAAATCTCCATACAAAATCCAAATCATTGGCGCGACCTCTAAACCTTCATCAATCTTTACCATTTTTTGCACAGGTTCATATTTTGGGGCTATGAATCGAACTGGAGGGTGGCCTATCAAAAATTCATCACTTTTTTCAAAATGAAACACCCTAGTGTGTATTCCATCTAACCCCCCTTGGCCGGCAGTGTTATTATGCAAGAAATCTCTCTACAATGTCGCATTTATGGGCATTGTAGACAGCTTTAGTCCGTGAATTGCCATAGTGATCTAGGACGAGGCTCACGTCCAAAGTCCACCGAGCGCTCCGTGTGCGAAAAGAGAATGAAAGAAATACGGAAGGGATCAGTTTTTAAGAAGTGACAGTTTCATCAGATTCCTCAACTAACCATACTCAAGCAAAGTAAGAATATACAAGCTATATTGCGACTATATGGTTACTTGGGTACTCATATGGCCGTCAGAATGGTTGATCGGTTGCGAAGTGAAGTATTTCTGAAAGTGATGCGTTATATTTCTCAATGTTTTGATTTTTTTCATAACGTTACCTCAATGTTATATCACATACAAGCAGACACAACACATTGAACATTTATCATTGTAAATCCTACCGCCATCTGTCGTATATACTTTGATGAGCAATACACTCAACAGATGGTTGTAGTGTGTAAACGTCAAACGTTAGGGAATTGATTATGTGCACCACAAATGGCGGTACTAACATAGAGGTAACTCTAAGACCAGAAGGTCCCGAAGAAACGAGCTCAACTTTTTGGCTCAGCTCTGGTACTATCTTCGGTCCCAAGCTAATCGATGCACCCCTCGAAGCATAGGAAAATCCATGAACCCCTCATTTTATCTGTCAAACTTTCATAGCGAATCAAAACAAACATAGTGTAGTACTGGAATTTATACTAGAATGGGATACGTTAATCGTTTGCTTGGGACCAATAGGCTAGTCAAGTAGTGAACCAATTTCAAATCGATAGCTTCGTATTGATTGCTGGTACTACCAACAATCAATACGAAACTAACGATTTTAAATTGGCTCACCACTTTAGTAGCCTATTGGTCCCAAGCAAACGATTAACGTACCCTATTCTAGTTGAAATTCTATTACTACACTATGTTTGTTTTGATTCGCTATGAAAGTTTGACAGATAACATCAGGGGTGTGTGGATTCATGCAGAACATGCAGGGGTGAGTGAAATAGCTTGGGACTGCTTGGGACCGTTGTTCTGGTACTGAGTGAGCCAAAAATAATAATGATTTTCTTCGGGACCCAGTGGTCTTAGAGTTACCTCTATGGTAGGGCGTTGGGGTAGACTTTAAGGTGTGCTGCAAAATCTCGACAGAACATGGCGATATTCCAAATTCTGCTTTGGTCACTCATTTGAGCTAACAGTCATCGTCAAGGCAAACCATGTCAATTGTCAGTGACAATGCTGTAAGTGACGAACATGAGCAGATTTTTGTATTACTTAGCTAAATTTGAAAGGAAATTAAATTACTTGAGCAAAACAATTACATGGAGCCGTTAAAGTGCAGAAACATCTACGATCTACATCTTGTTCTTTTTTAGCTGAACTTATTTTACAATGACTGATTGTAAAAAAAAGTTGTTATTTGAAGGAAGGCATCCAGTCGTAGGTTTGGAAATTGCAGCTATTGTTTACCCCTACCAAGCTATGTGCTCCTGTCATCGTCGACTTGACGATCTCGAGGGGACACGGGTGGGGTAGGGCTACATCAGTTTAGAGCAAATTTTTCAAACATTATTTTTTCTGTTTTTTTTTATTGACTTAAAATTAATAATAACTTCTTTTTACATTGTCTAATATCACTCGAAACAGCAGTAAATATTTTTGGCCAGGTTTTGCCCAAGTTAGTTTTTTGTGCAACGCCAAAAAATCATTCCATCTTGAAACTTATAAAACCCGCTCAAACGTCAATTTATAGCATGCTTTTACATGCTCTGTTAATTTTCCATCCACCGATGCAAAAACAACAGTAATAACAATAAATAACGTCAAACTATAAAGCAATTAATTTTTGAATCTGAAAACTCATCTTAAAGGAGGAGGTGTTGGGAGCCCCCCCCCACGACTGCATCAATTTTGAAGTGTCCAAATCGGGGTGACCCCGGCGTAGTGGTTAACATCCATACCTCTCACGCCAAAGTCACGAGTTCAAATCTCACCCCCGGACAAGTCACGAATGACCCAAGAGTGTTAAAGTGACTATAATAAAAAAAAAAAAAAAGAAGTGTCCATTTCAGAAAAGAGATAGTTTAAAGCAAAAATGCTAACTTTTCTGAAATAAGTTTAAAAATCTTAAAAATGTACTTGCTTTGTTATTGAAGTTTTAACCAGTTAATTTTTTTAACGAGAATTTGTATTTTTTCATAGTTTTATTTTCTGCAAAGGCAATTCAATTTTCAACAACTTTGTCTCATACGTCATTTAGATTTTTTTTAATAATGCGTTTATTTTACCAGGCTCATTTGCTGTAGCTTTGCGGAGCCGATATTCATTGTTTAGATAACAAAATAACTAACGTCAGTAAAGCGGGGGCCGATTACTCGCGACTATCTCGAGGTTAGGTGTAACAAATTGTAACAAATGAATGGCAGGGTAGGGATTGAGAACAACCATTTAGATTAGATGACCCATTTTCTTGCTATGATTTATTGAAAAATATCTAACACGCTATTTTTAAAAATTAGCCATTGTTCAAAATGGCAGAATTTCAGCACAAATTTGATGCATTGCCCCTACACAGAAAGACGAAATAACTCAAAATCGCATTGAATAATACAAACATCATTAGTTAAAATATTTTGGTTTGTTGATTTGTTTGAGAATTGTGTGTACTACCTTCTCACAATACATCGCAACAGTAGCACAATCGCTGACTGAATATATCCAAAATAGTCTAGCTTTTTCACAATAGCCCGCACAAACAAGGAAACTTTCTTTCGGAAAGCCTTACACGTGTCCAGCTAAAAAGTAACACCTAGCATTTTTATTCAAACTCTCACTTACACGATAACACTGATGATACCCTACGGTTTAATGCAGTTGGCTTAAAATTTAGGTATAGGTGAAGAAGAGTGTATGTGGCAATAAACGAAAATCAAGCGCGCGTGAATTGATTGTGTGTTGAAATTCAGGCAATTTGCACCCCACTTTGTGCACAGTACTTTTGCAGCGCTTCCTGGTGTGCCACCGGCAGCGATGCCACCAGCACACCGATCTTACCTGGATTCGATTGGGCCAGCTTGCCGAGATTCTGCACCAGGAACTGACGGGCATTTGCCACTTCTGGCAGGGGATCGATGGGTTTCGCTTGAGCAAAGTTAAGCTGTGAATAGGCGGCCTGATAGCCGGGCACATCTTCGATCTCGATGAACGTATCCCCGTCGATGTTGGATTCGTCCGGTGGGAGTTCGAAGATCTGGATGACCGTCTGCAGCAACTGGGGCCAGAACTTTACGTATGCGTCGGAAAGCAGTTCCGGAGCTTCACACAGCAACTTGGTGATACCGACGGTAGCAATCTTCTGTTCCAGTTCGCCGGAAACTTTGTTGATGTCGGGAATGAAGATGCGTTCGATGACCATGCCAAACATTCTACAGAAAAAAATGTTTTAGTTTGTTATGAACTACATGCAAGGAACTTGAGTAAGGGCTTACGAAGCTTGAATGTTATCAATAAGCTGTACGAGAGCTTGTGCACCAACTCGGGCCGCATACAAACACAGGAAAACGATGAAACTTCGCACAAATTTGGTCGTTTTGGAGGAACTCAATCGTTGGAAGAGCAACGAGAATATCTGACGCATGCTTTGTCCTAGTTCCTCGCTGAAATGTGATGAAAGCAATATTCATTAGCACGAGTAATCGTTAGATTTATTTGAGCAACTTACGATGGATAGTGCAACAGGAGGTTTTGCATCAGGTAGAATCCCTCGTGGTCGTTGCTCTTGGAAGCGATCATCTTCTGGAATACGCCGAGCACACCGTTCAGCTTGCCTTCGGCGCTAATTTGTGGCGAAGCTTGACGAACGAAAGAACACAGTAGTCGGATCAAAGGTGTCACATTGCCTGGTCTCTCCCACAGGGCTGGCGCCAGCAGACATGGGAACAGCGACAGATACGTGTCCGGAATGGCGCTTTTACCCTCACGAATCTCCAGGAACAGCGACAGCATTTGGAATACGTAGGGCATGAATTCTGAATTTTCGGAAAGAAGAAATATATGATAAGCATATTTCGACCTAACTCAGCAGAAATTTACCGAGAACGTCTTGCTGCAGAATGCCTTGGAATACTGGAAACAGAGCCTCTTCGAACGAACTGACCGCATTGGGATCTGCTTTGCAAACGAGCCTGCGAAAAAAAAAAAAACCCTGGTTAAGGGACTAAAAGGTGCAACCATGACTAGAACCTACTTAACCGAGAGCGACAACGTTTCAAACAAATAATGGTTGAAGTGTGGCTTAGAAGGATTTCTGGAAACCACGGTCAGGATCTCCGTCAAACGCGGTAGCACTACAATCATAAACGGAAGCGAAGCTTCCTGTAGTGTATTCAACGTTCGCATAATACACTTCATGATGTATTCATTTTCGTTGGAACCCTGAACGGTGAAAGCAGCAAACAGACCAGTAATTAATTCAGCACTCAGCGGAGCTAGGATTTCCTTGGTAACAATTGGTTTATTGTCCGGTCCTTTCATGGTGAGGATTTTGTCGATTGCACAAGCGGCATAACTATGAACTACAACGTTCCCTGCGGCGAGGTGTTTCGCCACCAGTGGCAGCGTGGCCACAATGATTTGCGGTCCGAGAATCGTTCGGAAGGTCATAATAAATTTGAGAGCATCCGCCTTTAGTACCGGAAGTTCGTTCACGTCGGCTCGCTCCAATTCGGGAATTATTTGCTGTTGGGTGAATTGAGGTAGAGGAACCAGCTCCGATGTTTGAGTGACACCAAGCTTCTGCGTTTGACCTTTGGAAGCCATTGAAGTTACTAGGTAGATTGCGGTGTCCTTGGTCTTCCAATTATTGGCCGGATTTTCGGCGTACTTGGCCAGCAAGACTTGCAAATATTGCCCGAAAATTTCTATTATCTTAGATTCGAAGTTCTGAGAGAGGGTTTTCACCAAATCACATGCAGCTCGGCGTCTTGTTTCCACATCGGATCCCTCAATGTCTCGTCGGATGTACTCCTCGGGATTATCCTCAAACAATTCTTCATCCGACACCCGGAAGTCCATGTTGGGTATGATGACTTTCTCACAGATGCTTGCCAAAACGTTTGGGTCTTCAAACAGATGCCTGTAGTGATTCCTATCGGCAACCGTGCTCAGGAAATTCAACGCATTCGAGACCAACGTGTCGTATTTGGTTTGAATTCCGGTATTGACCAACAACTCCCACACGGCTGTCACAAACTGTGGCATGTAAGGACCGAATTCTTCGTCATATTTCTGAGCATACAGGCAAAGATTTTCGCAAATCTGCGATCGCAAATGCTCCAACACACCCGCATCTTCATCGTCCGATGTTTTCAAGCATGGAATGTCAATTGTTAGCATCCCGTGGAATGCCTTCATCCAGGTATCCATATTATCCTCGAAGAACTCCGGCAAATCTTGAGAGTTCAACGAATAGAACACCTTACACACCAGCACAAGCGACCCGTAGATAATCTTCAATGCTTCTTCATTGTTGGCATGAGCTTCAGCTAGGCCTAAAGTGGCTTGCAACAACTCCGTTAACGGTTTCGCCAGTTTATCTAGCACGAATTTGATTTCCTCCCAGAGTTCTTGCGATTTGAATTCGTACCGATAGCGCTTGAATAGGGAATGAGCCGTCTGGAGGACTCCATTGATAACGTTGAAGTCGCCGGTGGCAAACTTCTCGATCATCTCATCCATCAGCTGGGGCCACTTAAGCGGGAAATCGTACTTTCCTATAATACTCACGGCATCGCTGAGTTGCTTCTGGATAGACAACGGGGATTTCAACATCAGTGGAACGATCATTGTTTTAATACCGTTCCGATCGGATTCAGCCACCTTATCGGGCCCATCGTTCTCCAAGTGATACCCCCAGTTGCGCTTGACAAAATTCTTGAATGCAATTGCAGCTGCCACCCGGATGGTAATATCCACTTGGGAGCGATCGATCAGGTGCAAACAGAGGAGCGGATAATTTTGACTAATTTCGATGCTCTCGATAAAACGCTCCGCTAAAATCCAAAAACATCTTCAATAACAACTCATAAACATAACCTTTTCGAAATAATAGCACTTACCAGGCCGGCGCACTTCGGGATCGGGGCTCAATGTTTGCTGCAGATAGTTGGCGAGACGCTCGAAATTGTTCTCGGTGATTTCCATTGTTGGCGGCGCAGATTTCACCTCGTGGACACGGTTTTCGTGTGGACGAACCACTATAACCTTATTTGCGAAGGTAATTCCGAACGATTACTTTTATTTTAACTGCACAAAAATGCAATCGAATCAATGCTTAACCACAGAATGGCAGAAAATGCAAATTATTGCGTCTGCTGAATGCGATGGTTGCCTCTTTTCTCGGTCAGAACAAACCGGCCGTTGGTCGTGGAAACGAAAAATGACATTTTGCGAATTTACCGCCACTGTGGGTGTCACTGAATTTGCCGAATGCTGTTGTACCCACTGAATTCAGTTACATATGCACTGAAAAGTAAAAGCGAGTAGTTTCTACACTAAGATAAATTCAAGGTATACCTCAATATATCGTAACTGTCACTTTTGACTGCCATCGTCAATATCTACCTAATAACAGTTGAATCATACATAATAATATTACCAATAGATGGCAGATTATCTCATCTGTCCGATGGTGTTATTACTTCGCTTGTTTGAATGATTGTTTGCGAGAAATCGGCGATGGAAGTCAAAAGTGATAGTTACGTTATATCGAGGTATACCTATTATTTTTATGTGTCCCACACATGAATTTCTGCAATGTGATAAACAAATGATATATCTTTGTCGGACACATACACTCAACCTGGTCTATATAAAGTGAGAAATTGTAGGCCTGAATGTATTGGTGCACTTCGTTTTTCACTCGGCTTTCATTCAGCTTCGCACGATTCGATTCTTTCGTTCACTCAATCACTCTTGTAGTGACGTCATAATGTTTATTTCGATCGGCGCTTGTATAGAAATTTTCACGTACAGTTGTATTGGTGCGATATGTGAGAGCGTGTTATTAAATATCGGAGGAAAATACATACACACAAAAAACAAAAATTGTTGCTATAAAAATAATGCATATTCAAAATGAAAGTTTCCCAAATTTCGTTGTTTTAACTGGGAAAATTTTCAAAATGAAAGTTATATCTTTGGTTTGAAAGTTTTTCTTTTCACTTCTGACTTGTTATTTTAAAAGTGCATTATATTTATATAAAAGTTGTTCAGCTATCAAAAATACCTCTTCATAGTAATGTTTTTGGCAGCACTGAACCGATCTCTGAACCCCACTTCATTTGCCGCCAAAATTGAATTTTTGAAAAAAAAAATTGAAGTTTACGGTGGAATCGGTGTTCGAATGCTGCCTCCAGTGATGATAAGTGGCAATCGATGGTGATTCTGCCACTGCAACAGGAAATGATAGGTGAGTTGGAAATTCGTTTTTCTTAGGATCGAACGAGGGATCGATTAAATTTGTTTTTACATCGTAGGTACGTGGTCGGGTCGTTCGGATGGTGGTCAATTCCCGTGGTGGGTGGCGTTCCTTTACTGGTGCTGATGACAAGGATTTTCTGTCTTCACCATTCTGCTGGATATTTCTATGGTGAGTGTCCCACTTTTGTGGTATGCAATGGTTGTATTTCAAAGGCTGTATTTTTGTGTTTGTAGATTCTATATCGTCAGCTCATGGAGAATAAAGTAGCTCCAGCAGGAAGACCTCGTAATGAATGCCGTTTCCATGGAGTGGTATTGGGATTGCCTTGTCAAGGGAACGTTTCCCAAAGCACTCGTCGTCATAACCGCTTTCCTTTTCCTGATGAGTGTGGGCGTCTTAGTGGAATACCTGTATAATGAGAGAGAGAAGGATTAGTATTTTCCATTTAATTCCACTTTTGTTATCGTCGTTTTGAACGATAGAAGCAAGAGGAAAGTTCCGAAATTGCCGTCGACCCGAGGTTGGACCGAATACCTTCCTTTGATTCCTCGGACTAGGACAAAATTTGCAATGGTCATTTTAACTATGTATTGTTTTGTTTTGTTGTTTTTTTTATAAAATATACTCGAAAATATATGAATAAACATTATTTTTAAAAAATCATTCAAATATGAGTTTGGGTACTTTTTTAAATCTTGAAAACTATTAATCTGATAATATTTCAAATTTGAGATAAAAACATATATTGTCATAATAAAAACGACTCCTTTTGAACTGAAACAGTTCGTACTTCATTTTAAAAACATTGGTTTTCCTTTTGACAGTTCTACAATTTGATTCAAAAGCTTCAACTTTTGAATTTAACGAAGACTTAAACTTTTGATTTGACAGTTTACACATTTTTATGATGAATGCTTCGAACTTTCTACCAAAAAGAACCAACGAAAACTTTTAATTCTACCCATGGTATTTTTAATTTTAGTAACGATTATTTTTTGTGTGTAACAAATCGAGGTCAAACTCATTTTGACAGATCTACTTTCATACATTTTTTAGGTTAGTCAGAGGAAAATAATAAACAACTTTACACGGCATTGCTCTCGCTAGTGTGCGTGCGTTAAACGTCAATAATCTCTATAGGATTTTTTATAAGGAATATAGAATTTATGTATGTTACCAAAATTTTTGAATGGTCTACCACTAAATGTTGAGATAATTTATTGATTATTGAATTATCACACTTTATACCATGAAAAAGCAGCCTGTTTGTGAGTTTTTGTCTGTTTTCAAGTAAGGAGTTATGATAAAAAAAAAACAAATCACCAGCTGATATTTCCCGGCGACTTTACAAAATAATATAATCAAGCAAAATCATCATGCAAAATATCTAGGATTCGTTTTCCTTCTTATTTCGCAAATTTTCTTTCGAGTTTTATGACGTCGCCACCATCGTCTACCGCAAAGTTTACATTTTCCCATCTACCAACACATACGTTAGGGCTATAGACACTCAATGACGTTTATATAAGGTCTGGGCCAAAGGGCTTATTGGTGTTAGTGAAATGTGCAAATGCTTATACCATAGAGGTAACTCTAAGACTAGAAGGTCCCGAAATAACGTGCTCAACTTTTTTGCTCAGCTCTGGTACTCTCTTCGGTCCCAAGCTAATCGATTCACCCCTCGAAACATAGGAAAAACCAATAACCCCTCATTTTATCTGTCAAACTTTCATAGCGAATCAAAGCAAACATTGCGTAGTACTAGAATTTCGACTAGAATAGGGTACGTTAATCGTTTGCTTGGGACCAATAGGCTACTAAAGTGGTGAGCCAATTTAAAAGCGTTAGTTTCGTATTGATTGTTGGTATAAAGGCCGGCGCACAATAGATACGTTTTCGGGTTTTTTGACAGTTAGCCCATGCATTATCTGTCAAAAACCTGAAAACGTATCTATTGTGCGCTGGCCTTAACATGTTGCCTACACAGAAACAAAATCTATTGGCAAAAATACTATATTGATGGTTTAAATTAAATACTCCCACCAATAGATTTGTGCAGAAACGAAATTCATTTAATTTTACTATTTTTTCTATCAAAACTACTATGCCGTTTGAGTAAGCATAGTAGTTTTGACAGAATGGTAGTAAATTTGATTATATTTTTAGTCAACTATACTGAAATCATGGTAGATTTAACGGCATTAAGCGTAGTTATATTGAAAATAAGTGTTTTCTGCAAAATAGTATTCCTAACTATGGTCTTTGTTTCAGTGTACGCGCCTGCCACTGGGCTGGGTCCTTCTGCTCATAGGCTCTTTTCACATATTGCTCTAGAAATCTACTTGTACCCACTCACGTAGTTGTCAAATAAAATTGTCATTCGCTTGACAGCCGAGTCGAAGAAAATCCGAGCGTGCGATGCGAGTGACGACGACGGCAAAACGCGCTTTTTCTTGTGGTACCGTGTTTTATTGGATAATTTTGGCTTTAGTTTTGCTTAATTTCTTATAAAATCGCGAAAAAGTTGGTATTAAATTAAGATTGAAGAGTGTAAAAGTGTATTATCTTTGATACCCGTTGTGCTTATCATGCTAGAAGCTGCCAACAAACATCAGAAACCTGATAGCGTCGAAACGAACAATAGCAGCAAAAGCATCAGCCATGTCGAATCACAGCAGCAGCAATCGCGCCGTCAAGGTCAGTCAGCAGCAACAACAGCATCAGCAACAGTCACTTCGCAAGCTAACCCACCGTCGTCCGTAGTAGTGGTGGATGGAAGTAGTAGCAACAGTAATTACGATTTGGCACACTTTGAACCAGTTCGTATTCTGAACAACAACAGTACACACAAAACCGTATCGTTGTTGGGACATTTCGGTAATTTATCTCGCGACAGTTACGCGATCATTGTATTGGAAAAGACGGCCTTCACCGAGGCCCAACTACGAAATAACTCGTGTCGAGAAGTGACGACAGCAGGCACAGACGTCGAGAAATCGACGACGACGACGTCAAGAGAAAGTGAATCCAATAATTCATCCACGATTGCAGAAGAAGCAGCTGGTGAAAGAAGTTTTTTCACAGCCAAATCTCATCTTAGAACGGAATTTATCAACGATATCTACGGCAATTTTCTGTGCGTAACCGATCCGGAAGTAAATCGTAAGTTTCACGTGAGCAATGCAGCTTTATTTCGATGTGGCTCTAATAGTATATATTTGGTCTTTGTTCGGCCGTTCTTTGTTCCGTTTTGCTAGAGCTAAAGGTGACCATAATCTACCCAGCCAGCAAGCAACATATTTCGAAATATTCAGCACACGCGAGATATCTCGTAGAGGAGACGGTGCACGACTATCGAAGCGTGACGTTGCCCCACTTGGAGCAGGAACAGCTGAGCTTGGAGGTAAGTGCGGTATTGATGATAAGATGTGTTATGTAGGCTGATGACCTGCAGCTCTCGAGCTCTCGAGCGGTCAATGGTCATAGGGGAGAAGTCAATCATTCAGATGTTACTCATGAGAGGAAGGCAGTACGTAGGCAAATTACAGTAACCTTGAAGCTGGTATTTAGCAATGTGTATGAATCATACGCACGAGTTGGTTTTCGTGTAGGTACGAGCGAAGAGTTTAATTCGCACTAGCGTTGTTTCGTTCGGTGTTATGTGCTGTGAGGTAATGAAAATTGTCAATACGTGGGCAGATTGCGGCTAGTAGGAGGGAGTTGTCAGTCAATCGCGTTTCAGATAATTGTACTGCAAGCGGTTACTGGAATCATATAATGTTCAAAATACTTTATCATAGTCCCTTACATTAAGAAAAGTTTCTAAATTGATAGGTTCTCGTCGCGAATAAATAACAAATTACAAATTAAAAAAGTCTTACGCGAATATAGAATGTTATGGATCATCTTCGTAGAATTCATATAGGGAGGGGCTTCAGCACACCTTTGCCTTTTATCGTCAGGGAGATAGATGAAGTCCTTGAGCACTAATTTTTTTAATGTAGGTGCATCATATTCTAGAGCATTGCTTTGCAAAAAAATAATACTCTAATACTTCATTTAGTTCCCTGACTAATAGTAAGTGAAGAAATGCCGAAGCCATCATTTCCCTAGGGCCTAGGACAACTCTGAAGATGTCTTATGGGCACCTTCAAACCTTATAGATTAATTAAAGAGACCTTATAGGTCAGCTCCTGACACCTAATATAGGTCTTCTTATAGAATATAAAGGATAAAGGTTTTGGGGTGAGCTCAAATTACTTAAGAGTCAAGATTTGAAATCTTGCTTGCTGTTTTACCGTGACTTCGTGACTTATGTGAGTCGAATTTAGTGTGATTTTCCTGTTGCGAGGCGATTCAGTATTGCTTTTCTTGCATCATGTGGAGTTACAAGCCAGAAGGGCATAACTCGAAACGTAAACAATGACTTCAAACGTCATACCATTTCTCACGTGTCGTAGCACGCCTACGCAAACTAACTACACCGACTGATACAGTAAACTCCGCTCTACCAGATATGGCAGTTAGTTTGCGTGGGTGTATTGTTATTGATGGTTATCGACGTCATTGTTAACGGATTTGAGATAGGCTATTTTGACATGTTATTACTAGAGAGAGGGTCTAGGTTGTTACGCCAGGTATATTTAGAAAAAATCATCAACTAGATCGACGAAATGTCTTTACGTATCTTCACCACTAGTTGTTGAAGGGGATTGTTGTGTTAAATATTTGTGATTCATAAAACTGAATGACAGAACAGACTAGCTAAGGGAACATCATTTGATTTGATGAGAACTTCGTAAACGTTGAGGGAACGTTGTAGATCTTCAAGGAACATCAGGGACCTTTATAGACATTTAGAAAACCTCATAGACGAATTCAGGAAACTGCGTAGGAGTTCTGCAATTTTTTTTTTTATGAAAGTGCAGCGAATTTTGTTGAAGTTTTGCGAATTTGGTAGAAGTTCAGCCAATTTTGTAGAAGTTCACTGAACTTTGCAGAACATCATCGAACTTTGTAGAAATTTGGCGAATTTTAGAGAAATTGTGAATTTAGTAGGATTCTGGAAAGTGATGGAAATGAGAAACTTAGTAGAAACTCTGGGAACCTTGTAGCTTGCGGGAACTGTGTACAAGTTTGGGGAACTTCGTAAAAGTTAGGAAAACATTTTTAAATTAGATAGAACCTCATAAAAGTTCGAGGACCCTCTTTTAATTACAGGGCACTTCGTTGTTTGATGGACTTGATATAGTTCAAGGAATTCCGTAAAAGTTCTGGAACCTTCGTGAAACTTCGAAGCGCAGCGAACTTAGTTGCGAATTCCGAAGCAATTCGAGGAACTTCATAGAAGTGCAGCGATTTTTGAAAAAAAAAACTTCAGGGACCCCAGTAGAATCTCGGCAAACTTTGTAGAAGCTCAGGAAACTTTGTAAAAGTTCAGGGAATTTCGTAAAAGTTTATTTAACTTTTTAGAAGGTGGGTGTTCTGAGATCTTGGTAGAATTAATAGATATTGAAAAATAATAACAATTGAAATTGGAACAAGCTCAGGGATGTTCGTAGAAGTTGAGGAAATTCTCTAGAAGTTGAGGGAATTTTGTTAATGTTCAGGGAACATTTTTTTTAGACTTTATTTTTGAGATTTTGAGTCGTAGGCTAGTTCATCTCGTCCATGAAAGGTGGGGCCTCAGAAGGAGGACCCCCAACAGAGTAGTTTTTACAGTGTTCCTGAAAATTGGTTCCTGGCTCGATCGTACATTTACACAACATTAAAATCTGAATAAGACAGAGCTTCACACCGGGGGAACCGGGAGGGCCCCCACCAGGCAGAGATGTCCCAACAGCCGAAAGGAATTAAAAAAGACTAAACTTTAAAATACAATGCAGCATCCTTTAAAAAACGCATTACTGCTGCCAGTGTGGAGGGATTATCACCCAGCATGTCGCGTATGCTATTTGGAAGCCCGTGGAATTCCCGCAGGCTCTGATACTGAGGCTGAGTTCTACAACCGACGCAAGTCCTGTGGAACGGCGTTCCACCGAAATTGTGCGAGATCTTGGTGTGACCGGTCCTCAAACGCGACGCTATCTTCTGATCCCGCTGGTTCAACTGTTCTGTCCATTTCTTCGTCATTCCTTTGATCCGTCTGATGAAGAGAGAGCGGTTTTGGGCCCACTCTGCGTCCCAAGTTTCCCGTACTTTGCTCACGATCCAGCGCTTGACATCGTGTAACGGTACTTCGTTAGTATAGCGAGGGGCAGATGGTCCTGTCCCAGCCAGAAAGTCAGCTTCAGAGTTGCCTGGTATTACACAGTGCCTCGGAACCCAGCAGAATACCGTGTTTGGTGGCGCGGACTTCATGAGTCGGGGCCTCGGATGTCAGGGCTTGTATGACACTGTGCGAATCCGTGAGGACCAGGATCGGTCGGTTGGAGAGCGTTGTAGCAGTGATGAAGATGGCAGCAGCTTCAGCAGAGAAGACAACATTGCGGCGGTAAGCTGCAGCTGGTTGGTGTGATGTTTCCGGCTAGACCGACCCCGGCTCGAGAGCGAGATGCGTCCGTGTAACAGTGCGTGGGGTATTTTTCTCCTAAAATTTCAGCTACAGTCCTTTTCATAGCCACGGAATTGTCTCCGGCTTTGAACCTGCCCTTAATCCGGCTTTCGATTTTCGGTGATGGTGTTTGCCAGCATTTGTCTCCATGCCAGTTGACCCTGCCCACTGGGGAGAGATTTTCGTTGGCAACCGTGTGGAGGAGTCTGTTCCCCTCGTCGAGGAGGAAGATCCCTTGATTTCCGGGTGTCTTCGAGATGAAAACTTTGGTTGCGATAGTTGCGGTTATACGGAAGCGGAAATGCAGGATGCCTGCGTCGATGCATGCAATCTGGACGTAGGTGTTGTAGATTGGTGCTAACGTAGCTAAAAGCTTATCCGTTGCGATGCAGGTCATCGACTGTCGATAATTGCACTCGCCACGTGAAAACGGATGCTGCGGTTGTTCGATCTATTCTGTCGGGAAATGGTCCGGATGAGATTCACTCGGCTGCGGCAATTTTTCTTGACTGCACTGAAATGCTGTTCAAAGTTGAGGAATCGGTCAACGAGAACTCCCAGAACTCGGATGGTCTTCTTCAGCGGTATGGACTGGTCGTCGATTTTGATCGGTGGTCCGCTAATACTGTGTCGAGAAGGGCAGACATGGCACCTGATGCTTTTAGAGGCTGATAATTCAAAGCCTACTGAGTGGGCCCACCTGGCGACGGCGGAGATTGCCGCTTGGGCTCTCATCCTTGTACGTACTGGCGTGGGTCCGGTGGTGACGATGAGGATGTCGTCGGCGTTGACGAACACATATATCAAGTATAACTTTTCAAAAGGACGTATGTAACATTTGACAGGAAATGAGAAAAATGGGGTAGCAATATTCAGACTGTATTATTAAATCCTATTTAAAAGTTTTTGTTATTTTTCACGATCTGTTGCTGCCAAAAGTTACATACAGGATTGTAGTTTATGATTATTATGAACAATGCTGGGTTTTTGCATACATTAACAGCAAATTTGATAAAATTAAAAGATGCACCATTTTGGTTCTGAACTTCCCACATACACTTTGATTGATTCGTCGTTATAGTACCATGGTTGTTATAAACACCTTGTGAGATGCGTCGATTTGACAGATCGTTTTACACTTGCGTCAGATACACCAGTTTTTATTTGGAAGCAGAAATACGTCGGTCTGCTAACTCTCACAAAGAAATCCGTAATTTTGAGGTACGGAGAAGGAGATCCTTAGTCAGGAGCAGGTTATCTGGAACAAGAGGATAACTGAGGATTAAAATAACGGGATCCTGTATCAGGTAGTGAGTTGTTCGACTCACACAAAGAAGTCCCGGACAAGACAATTCTCGCGTCACTTTTCAAATAGACCAATGTAACATATCCACCATTTTGAGAAAATCGAAGTTGAAGTTCGACAGATTATTATTTTAACTGTTTAAAAACAATACATTTTGCAGTACTATTTTTAATGTAGTCAGTGTATAATAACGTTGAAAATTCAGAAGAAACGTTAAAAATCACAATTTTACTTTGAATTTCATGCTACAACATAGAAAAAACCACATAGGACGTTTTGACAAGTCGAGTTGTACATCGGACATGTTACATTGGACGATTTTTCTCACTGACATAATCAATCAGTGTTACATTGGACGTTTTGTCTACATGATACTAGATTCCCTTTCACAGATTTCAGAGTATAGTACCTAACTTTAGATTGGCCCCGCCTTTGGAAAATGAGCACCAATCATATTAGGCAGTCCGAATGACCGAAGTAACAATCATGTACCCATCATTTCAAACTGTACATTGGACAATTTTTGATCAATGATTATTTTAAATAAATGAAAGTAAATTAGGATGGATGTTTTTTTATCACATACAATGATAGAAGAGCAATAGTTTGTATCGCTTAACTCGATTTGTTTACATTTGTTACATTGGTCTATTTGAAAAGTGACGCGAGAATTTTCCTGTCACCTCAGAAAGTCATGTCAGAAACAAACAAGCAGAGCAGAAATGGGTTTCCTTCCGCTGCTGGAAGCGGAACAGCGAGCGCTGGTGTACGTGTATTCGAAGCTGTTTGAGACGGCTGCCACGAAGACAACGACCGGCGAGACGAAAGATTTTTTGGCGACCATCCACCCCTATTCTCGTTTTCGAACGAATCGAAACGTTCATACAATTCGATTCGTTCGAAAACGAGAATAGGGGTGATCATCTTGGCGTGCGCACCGGTTCGAATTATACCTTTCAGGATAGTCTAAGGGAAATTATGCTGAATCACCATGGTCAATTGACAATTATCATGGAATTCCTATCACGACGGTTTGGGCGCGTTTTGCGTTCAATGAAACGGATGATGTTGAATAGATTTGAACTGCTAACGGAAATTTTCTCCGCAGGAAAAGTCAACCAACGAGAAGCATCATTGTGTATGTTCAGATCCTGTTCTGGAGGCATTTCATTTGCCGGCGAGTTTAGCGAAACGGTTTCAACTTCTTCGTAGTACCCGACGCTGGGAAATTGGGCCATAATCGCCGAAGAAACAGCAAACTGTTGTGACCCTGGTTGTGGATCGTCAAGTTGAGTGGCTGCGTTCAACTACGTTTTTATCATGAATATTAACAAAAACATACCTAGCAGCAGCTGTTTTGCATCAAAATCCATTTTGAATTTATTTGGAAGCAGCACGACGCAACTGCTGATTCAAATTTTCGATTTTCATTTGCGTGTTATTTTCAATTTTTGACAGTTGCGTCATATTGACGGCAATAGGGTGTATCTAAACCTTTTTCAAAACATTGAACACACTCCTTCAAAGTTACTCAAAAGTGAGTAAAAATTTACTCTCTTTCGGTAAAAGTGGAACTACTTTAAAGTGAGTAAACCTATAGTTACTCACTATTGAGTAATGCTAGCATTTGTCAAAATCAGAGTAACTTGTATTCAGTTCTGATATGCGGTAAAACAGCATATCTGAGTAAATGTTACTCAGTTCATGTAAAATTTACCGTTTTCAAAATGAGTAATAAATTGTTATGATATTAATAATATTTATATGAAAAATCAAAACGATAGAACAAATAATTTTATTAAAAGACAAAAGAATCTGCATTTCAATTATGTCCACGACGTCCGATGTATCATCCCATCACATTTTCTAGATAACCCTCTTGTTCCAGTTCCAATTCCGGAGGATGGTTCATAATGATGTGCCGCTTCAATGTTTTGAACCGGGTGTGTAAAGATCCACATTTGGAGTATTGGAACGGTGGTAAATCAGCACTGCTGGTATTGAAATAATGATCATGTTGATTGTGGGATTTTAGTTCTGCTACATATCCTGGAACAAATCTTTGATTCACGGGGAGATGGCAACCAAAACCTTCTAAAAGGATTTAATTAGGTGCTTTAATGTTCAAGTTGATTTATTTTTTTACCTTTTTAACTTAGAGAACGAATCCTAACCTGCAGCCATTTGATCCATTTCTTTCTCCTAAATTTACAAACATGAATGGGAAATCGGAAGTTCCATCACCGACGAGATTTTTCACTTTTGTCCAAGCTTTTGTCACAAGCATTTGACATAAGCACAGTGAGTAAAATTTGTGCAGGATTACTCAAAAGTGAGTAAACATTGTTTTTAAACAAACATAGTAGTAGTTACTCACTTTGCTAAATCAATGTTACTCAGATTTTGACATTTTGTACTAAAATACCAAATTGAGTAGAAGTTACTCACTTTTGAGTAACATTGAGCGAGCGTGAAAGAAGAACACATAGGGCGGTAATTAAATTTATTTTTTCTTAGATGATTAAGTTTTTAAACTTTGTTTCGCAATTACTATAGAGTAAAGCATGAAATTTACAATTGGATAGAGGGAACAACTCGATTTGTTTATTTTTGTGACTTACGTCCTTTTGAAAAGTTATGCTTGATATGTTCTTCGGTAGTTGACTGAAGACTCCGTTCATCGCCACGAGGAACAGGGTAACGGCGATAACCGATCCTTGTGGGACACCCGCGACTCGGAAGTTCTGGATGAAGTGAACGATGGGTTCGTTAAGACCCCAGTCGATTAGTTGCTTAAGGACGAGGGGCGTCCACGTTCTGTTGAAGGCCTTCGATATGTCGAGCGATAGCACTGTCGTAGGCGTTCTTGAGAACTTCCCCTAGGGTTGCGAAATAGGTGGACGTTCCGAAACCTTGTCGGAAAGCGTGCTGTCGGTGATCAAGGAAATTTCCAGCTTCGAGGTGTTGCACCAGTCTTCGATTGACTATACGCTCTAGGACTTTGGTCATACAACATGTTAGCGCTATTGGACGGAACTTGCTGACTTCACGGGTGGCTATCCCGGCTATCCCGGGTGCTATCCCGGCTGACTTCACGGGTGGCTATCCCGGGTGGCTATCCCGGATGGGAACTACCAAGCTTTCCTTCCATACTGCTGGGTACCCGTTAGTGAGCCAGAGCTTGTTGAAGTAGCTGTCCTGGTACCGGTAGCATCTTGAGTAGGGAATATCCGATTTTGTCGGGTCCCGCCGACTTCCCGTAGCTGCAGCGAAGGGCATGCTGCAGTTCCTGCCAAGAGAAAGCTTGGTTTATACCGGTACTGGCGGTGTCGGGGGGTACTATGAAGTCTGCGATGGATGCGGTCGATGGCTTGGTTTTCTGCTTGAATTTGTTGTCATACTTGTCAATGGTTGCGAGCTCGGCGAAGTAGGTAACCGTGGAACCATTAACTTGGACGTGAAGTGGTGTCGTGCGTCGTTTTCCACTAAGGGCGTTGATTCGCTGCCAGAGATCGGCCGAGGATTGCGATGCGTTCATCCCTTCCAGGAACTCCATCCAGCTGGATCGCTTGGCATCACGGATTTCTTGTGGGCTTTGACTGCCTTCTTCGTATCTACATTCCACCAGCGGAGCGCTTTTCTCCCCGTTACGCTGCTGGTCTTGGGGATGGTGGCCGTTGCTGCTTCGTATATGGCGTCCGAGAGGTCCTCGATACTGCCCGGGTTCCACTGTAGTAGTAGAGTCTCCAGAGTGGCCCCGTAGTTTTCCCAATCCGCTTGTTTAATACCGCCATCGCGGCCTCCGTGGTACCGCCGGGACGACATTTTATAATTTATTGGAAATTCGTTCAAGTTTAGTAAACTTGGTAGAACTTTAGTGAATTTCTTTAAAGTTTAGGCAAGTTTTAATTAGGCATGGATAAATCGTAGAAGTTCATTGAGCTTCGTAGAGTAGACAGAATTTTCTACACATTTTCTAAATAATCCACAAGTTCAGAGAACTTTATATAAATTAAAGAAACTACGGATAAGTTAAAGTGATTGGAAAGCAGTTCATGAAATCGAGTATAAGTTCATGAAGCTTTGTGGAAGTATAGGAACCTTCATATAATGTTAGGAAACTTCGTAGAATTTTAGATAATTACGTTGACTCTAGGATTTTCGATAATATATCATTAAAGTCATCTAAATATTTTTCAAGACTGTTCAACGAGTCGTTATCGTTTGCTGCGATACAGCAAATATAGTGATTCAAATTTAACGCCTGAAATCGCAATAGTGTCCGAGATTAACTCTCTGAAAAACTCGAAGTGGCAGTGCAAGTGCCTATGATTTGTGGACGCTGGAAAGTATCACTTTAATATTGTCCTGAGAATTCAATTCCTTTGAAAATATTCTCATAATTTTAATCAAATCTTTCCTCGGGATTCCTAGTATCGTAGAATAGACTAGACTAGATTAGAAAACTCTCTTCAGGAATCCTCCTGAGTCTTTTTCGTTTGAAATTATCCTCAGAAAACCCTATAAATTCTGTTAACAATTATCTATGAATTCTCGCGAAAATTCTCTTGGGATTATTATTAAAATTCACTTGCTATTCTCCTCACGGTCCCCATAAAATTTTACTCAGAATCACGTAGGAATTCTCTTGATGTTGTTTTCACAATTCCCATGGAATTATTCTAAGAATTACCCGGGAATTCAATTCAAAACTTTCTTTCTTCTCCCCATAAATTCCCATATTTTGGAAGAAATCCAATTCTTTTTTTACTAAGTCTGAGACCTTAAAGTTTATATAAATATTTAACTAATTAAAAAAAATGATGCCTAACGCTCCTAACAAATCTCAACGCTCCAGAATCTTAAAAAAATTCTTAATTCATTTTTTTAAATTTTGTTAGTGCAGATTACGGAGTGTTCAAACATTTTCTTACTCCGTGATCTCCATTAATTTGTTCCTAGATCTCATTTAAATCAAGTGAAAAATTTATTATACAATTTCTTAATTTAATCGCTCACTCTTTACCATTCGTTCTAATGAAATGCAGCTCAATAGCGTTCGGCCTAGTGGCCTTAAGGGACTTAGTGGCATTGGTTGACCAAAAGTAAATGATACTTTTGAGATAGGTACTAAGACCAATCAATTTGCATCACTTTTCTGAGCTTGAGAGCCTGAAAATTTACTAAGCAGCTGAGTCATGGGATATTTTTATGGTCACTAGGCGGAACGCTATTGAGCTGTATGGGTCATTAGACCAAATTTTAAAGAGTGAGATCTTAATTAAGAAATTGTTTAAGAAAGCTTCAACGTTGATGTATTCCTTACCATCATTTGAGGATCACTTCCAGTTGACTTACACGCTGCACTGACAGGTTCATAATTATGATTAGCTGATCCAAAATTGCATTTATATCGATTTTAATCTCTGCTATTTCCATTCCATCCATAGTGGTTGTACAACATCCTAGAGCACCGCAAGGAAACGGACCGCATCGTATACGAGGATCCCTCGGAGGAGACCGGTTTCATCCTGCTGCCGGATCTGAAATGGGACGGTAAAACCGTAGAACAACTGTATCTTCTAGCATTGGTTCACCCGAAGGGAATCAAATCGTTGCGTGATCTCACCGCTGACCATTTACCACTGTTGAGAAATCTCAAGGACAGCGGAACCCGAGCAATCAAACAACGGTACGGAATCGACTCCGACCATTTGAGAATCTACGTTCATTATCAACCATCGTTCTATCACTTGCACGTGCATTTCACCTATCTGAAGCACGATCCTCCGGGGATTCACTGCGAGAAGAGTCACCTGCTGACGACAATTATCGAAAATTTAGAGCTCGTGTCGGATTACTACCAGAAAGTAACTCTCTCCTGCGTGCTTAGTGAAACTGATAAACTGTATGTAAAATTGAAGGCAGCTAAGAAGACGGCTGACGAGCAACCCGAAGCCAAACGTGCAAAATTAGAATAGTTATCAATATCAATCGACCGTATTTATAGCCGCATTTCTTAGACATAACAATCATAACCAATCAATCAATCACTCAATCAGTAAACCGTAACTACACCAAGCAGTATAAAAATGCCTGTAGGGAACATTGACCGCCTGCTGATCGAGCTGCGACCGCGGTTGCAAAGTGCCAATTTTTTCATCTGCTTCAGCCGACGCTTCGCGGAGATCAAATCGACCAAAATCGATCTCGACTCGGACCGAATCACCATCAGTACGGAAAACAATGACGAACGGTACGAAATAAGACTGGGAGATTATTTTAAGCTGCATACCCAAACGCTGAGCTCGCTTCTTATCAAGAATAACTATATTTGCTTTCGGATTAACACCAACGAAAACAAGTTCCACTCGGAAGTGCTGGAAATCAATGAGTACAATGCCTGTACGAACCTAAAGCTGGAATGTGCCCTGCAAGTAGCGGTGGATTATAAAATAACTTGTAGCAATTGCGGGAATCCTCTACGGGAGGAATCGATTAGCTTTAAACGCATACTCGAGTTGCCTTCGGACCACATGGACAGTAATGATTGGTACTGTCATCTCCATTCGCACGGTGAAGGGGACACGCAAACTCATGCACACCCAGCTGGTGAAGATTGTTCCTCATCATCAAAGGCGGCACCTCACCCGAACAAGTTTACCCCGTCAGAGACGGATCTGTTATATGGCCCATTCTACGCTTTGTTAGATAGAAAACATTTGGAGCAGGTTCACCTACGAGCGGAACGATTCCTGTATTGCAAACGATGTCTGCAGTTTTTGGGAACGATGAAGCGGAGTGGCTGTGCCAAATTATGGTACGAAAACTTGCGATTCCAGCAGCAGAAGGAGGTGAGTTATTTTTCCGCGGTGTCATATTCTTCCTTTATCTCAAGGTCTTGTTTTTTTCCCCTCAAAACAGGAAGAGCCAAACGAGCCCAAACCTGTACCGCATGGTTTGTTCCGAGTAGATCAATCGTTACCACAATTCCAATATCTAGTCCGCAAAACGGTCAATGACTTCAACTTCATCTCGCACTTGGGGCTTCCGCCCATCTTCAAGCTTATCTTCGAAATGCGGCGCCCCGGACGGGATGGCGAAGTGTTTTTCCTGTTGATGCAAATCATGGACGCCAATTTGAATGTGTTCAAAATACGTAAGAGCGTGGATGCGGATTCGTCCGCATCCGATGAGCAAGCTGATGATCAAGAAGTTAACGAGAAAGTCGAGGACGAGGATGATGAGGTATTTACTCCTATCAGAAAGACTCATCGCAATATACACTTGGACCGGCACAGGGTGATGAAGGTGATGTACAGGTATGAAAAGTACGAACAGCAGCCCATAATCAACTTTTGGCTGCAGGATTATAACGTAGTTAATGTCGAAATATCGGAGCAAATGTTCAAAACAGCCATCCGATACTTAGACAGCAATTCGGACTATGTGCCCGAGTGTTATCGGAATAACTTGGGATTCAATTTGAGCTACTTGGATATTACATAAGGTACATTTTTCGTCTTGAATAGAAAATCCTGATCGTCAAACTGATGTGCGTGCGTGTGTGTGTGTTATCGGTAGAGCTTGAAAGAACGCCCGTTTAGAAGTCGATGGCATTGAACTTTTTTTTCTATCTCATTGAAGGGTCTATTTAAGTAATATTCTTAATTTGGCAATGCGATAGCAACTGTTTAATTGAGCAACCATTCAAGCACCATATACTGGAACACCTTGATTCTATACACATGACACTTTTCACTTTCATCACCGTTTTCTATCAAATTATGACATCTCAATCACGCAAATCAACAACACACCATCGGACAGAGCACAGATTCCCATCTATCTCCGAGAAATCAGCGATGGAAGTGAAATAGGTAGGGGAAATAGATGTAATGTCGGCCTAAATGCCCCTAATATGGGACCATACATAAATTCAGCAATCGACTAAATTTTCAATAGCGACCAAAAATATCAATTAGTACCGTCCCTAGATAAAATTGATAAATAACAGATTTTTAGCGATAGGTCCAATCTTAGGTCCATAGGCCAACATTAGAGCCATTTTCCCTATTTCCAGTATTCAACAATGTTTTCACGTTGGACAGTTTGATTACAATGAATACATTATCAGTTGATACAGCATTGCATCAGCTTGATTCAATCCAGTAAACTTTATGACCAGTCCTGTTTTAAAGCTGTGGTACCTTCGGTTAAAATATGGTGTAATCGATTCAGGATCGAAAACGGGATTACTACGAAAGGCCGAATCACGAAAGACCGATTCACAAAAGGCTGAGTCGGCCGCTCTGCCAAATTTTTCGGCCTTTATTGTTTTTTTTATGGAAAAGAACACTAATAGCCGTTAATGGTGTTTGATGTAATAAATTGCCCTATGCGGCATAACATTATCATTTTTGGCAAAAATGAGTTATACATTGGAATCGATTGTCAAGTGCCATAACTTCATAATAAACAGGAAAAGTTTCCTACTTTGGTCAGAAAATGTCGCGAAAAATAACAAAACTATGTTGTCCCATCCATAAGAGTCAATGTAGAAAAAAAAACTTTAACAGCGTTTTTCTCAGCTTGCTGTTTTCACGAATGGGACAACTATGCTGAAAAGGGCAGTAATCTAATATTTAGAAAATAGTTAAGAAATCTTAGAAATTTGAGATGACTCATAGTTGTTTTACACTCAGGATTTCACAATATACATGCATAGATCTTGACATGTTCGAAAACCCAATCCTAGTTTTTTTTTTTAAATTATTGTTTAATTCATAATCCATCTCAACCTTCTTAAGATGTTGAGACTCCATTAAGAACTTTGAATTAAATCAAAACCCTTCATTTGAACACAATTTCAGGACCGGTCTAGGAATTTTTCGGGTTGGAAAATTTCTCGACTTCCCTGGGCATAGAGTATGATTGTACTTGCCACACAATAATATTTATGCAAAAATGGTACAGGCATCGAAAGCTTTCAATTAAAAACTGTGGAAGTGCATCTAGAATACTAAGTTGAGAGCACACAACAATCTAATATGTGATAAGCAATAAGCTTGAAATGGGAAGAAGACCTAGTGGCGATCGTTTTTGATTACCGAGAAGAAGATCGTGGGTTCTATCCCAGGCAGTGTTCGGAAAATCATTCTCAAATCTCATCATTGAGCCTCCCTGCGAGAATAAACTCGCGTGCGAATGCGGCAAACAAAATTCACACTTGAGATTCTCATGCATATTCACGCACTCACACTCACAACGCCGAAAAATCATTCCAGCTTCAAACTAATAAAAACCAATCAAATGTCAATTGATAGCATGCTTATACATAAAGGGTGTATTCGATAAAAATGACACACCGAAAATCTTCTGTAACTTTTGAACCGTATGAGTAAAAATACCTGAAAATTTGAGTAAATCTTATTCATAGTGTATTTTTTTTACATCTGTCCAGTTTCATAGTTATTCACTAAGAGAAGAGGTGACAATGGGCCGTATGAATAAAAAGAGTTTACTTTACTTTCCCATGCTTTTCTTACGGGAAAAGTAAAGTAAACGCTTTTATTCATACGACCTAATACGGGGGCGAAAATGAACCACTTTTCTGTCAAACGTGAACCAGCTCCTGATTGGCCGATTTCATGTGCGTAAGATAGAGATAGAGATAGATAAAGATAGAGATAGAGAAAGAAATAAAAGAGGAAGAAGCCAATTGTCACCTCTTCCTCTTAGGTTATTCATACAGTAGTTCCAGTCATGTCGTCAAAACAAGAAATTGTCGATGAAAAAAAAATGTGCAATTACAATCAAAACCCAGAGACCTCTCACCGATGGATCACTAAAAAGCTTGGAATTGTAAATACAACTGTGTCTCGTGTGATAAGATCCTTCAAGGAGCGTCTCAGTGTCATTTTCCTGGGCAAGAATATTTCATTGCCAAGTCTAAGTTCGATGTTCTGGAGGATGTCCGAAAGAAGAAATTATCGAAATTTGCAAAGAAGTTCCTGATCTGGCAGGGGATTTGCGTGTGTGGTGAAATAAGCGCTCCCTTCATCACTTCCAGAACAACATGTGAAAAGGGCATACAAGCTTTTTGTAAACAAACCTTTGTAGGCCCTTTTCTCACCAACCGAGGGTCGCCCACGCAAACCAGCAATATCATCGGGAAGGGGAAAGTGTCCTCTACCCGGTGATGTTAAAGGTTTGCGTTGGTGTCATATGGGTGGCGAGAAAAGGGCATAAGAAGGTTTGTTTACAAAAAGCATGTATGCCCTTTTCACATGTTGTTCTGGACTTTCGGAACAATCAACGGTGCTATTTACACGGAAGAGTGCCTTAAGAAGCGTCTCTTGCCATTCATAAGGAAGCATAAAGGATCAACTCTGTTTTGGTCTGATCTAGCATCCTGCCACTACGCTCGAAACATGGTACCGAGCCAACAGAGTCAATTTTGTGCCAAAAGATATGAACCCACCAAATTCACCGGAACTTCGCCCAATTGAAAAATTCTATGCAATTATAAAGACGGAACTTTGCAAACACCCTAAAACTATTAAAACAGAGCTGGAGTTGAAGAACATTTAGGTAAACTGGGAAACACTGGGAAAACCGGTTGTACAACATTTGATGGGTGGAGTGAAAAGGAAGATGCGGGCATTCGGGATGAAACTCATTAGTAGTTTTTCATTCCCTGAAAATTTCAAGAAAATCCGATAATCAGTTTAATTTTGGTGAGTAAATATGTGTGCCATTTTTATCGAACACACCCTTTAGCATTGACATTGTTGAGAACTATTACAAAGGTATTCCTCAAGGGGATATTTAATAGGAACGCTGTTCCAGTGGTAGTGGTTGTTGCTAACTTTGGTTCCTATAATAGTGGAAAGCATTGCTTTCTAATGGGTTCCACTATTATAGGAACACTCAAAGAAGTCAAAATCTGAAGGGAAATCAATCGTTTTCCGTCATTTTTGGGCTAATTTTAAGTTTTAAATATGCAAATTTTTCTATATTTTAGGAGAGCTTCCGGTTTTCGCTCATTATTCCGACACAACCCCCATGCCGCAACTATAGGTACATCACTATTACTGGAACATTTACCCTAAATTACTATGATTTTTCAAATATTTACATGGGAATTGCACTTCGTAACTTCAACTGCCATTTTCTCAATGCCTACTTTTTCCATATGGGACTGATATGGGATTATTTATGGCAGTATAAATCTTCTCGAAAACTATAGCGCCGCAACGCTTTCTCGAATTAATCATGTAGTTAACGAAAACAAGCGTAATTTGAACCTCTACTTCGTGAGCACGCAGGTCAACGCTCCATTCCACGGCTCCTTGTCCACTAATGAAGTCAGTTCCGCACCACGAATCGACGAATATCGTGCTGTGGTTTTTTATGACTTCCGTAATACTGACCACTGCAGCATTATAGATGTGTTGTATGTATCCTGATGAATGTGGGCGTCTTAGTGGAATACCTGTATAATGAGAGAGAGAAGGATTAGTATTTTCCATTTAATTCCACTACTTTATTTGCTTATCCTTGACAGATACGCGTATTTCGTCTACAATGTGCAGACTTCTTCAGTGTCTTGTACCGGGAGTCGAGTATTAGTACAAGACACTGAAGAAGTCTGCACATTGTAGACGAAATACGCGTATCTGTCAAGGATAAGCAAATAAAGTAGTGGAATTAAATGGAAAATACTAATCCTTCTCTCTCTCATTATTGTGTTGTATGTGTTGACAGACACTTCCCGAAAAGAACTCATCGCAACGTTTCTCACCCTTCCTGACAGACGAGTTAGCTACGTAGGTTGAAGTCAATCAAGAAAGCATCATTGAGAAGATTCACGAAATATCGCACGCTTTCTCTAAAACTTCACTATGTGAGGCTGAATCACGTGTGACCAGCAAGTCAGTCGTCAATGCTTTTCAAGTTTCCAACTTGGCATCCAGCGCAAACTTAAGCTACATCCGAAATCATTTTGGAACTACGTGAACGAGCAACCCAGGGAGTCCAGCTTCCCATCGTCTATGGAATTCAACGGAGGAGATGCTTCCACCCCTGAGGGTATATGCCGCCTTTTTTCCGACAAGGTTGCGAGTGTATTCACCAATGAGATATTAAGTAACGACCATGTTACCCAGGCGACCAGGAACGTTCCAGTAAATGGTCAAACGTTTGATGTTAACATTGAGATAATTTCCAATGCCGTGACTCTGCTCAAATTGTCCTTCAACCCTGATGGAGCTCCATCTGTATTTTTGAAGAAACACATTGCTAGCTTGTTAATTCCGCTTCATCGCCTAGGTATTCTGCATGTCTCTCTCTCTAGTGGCATATTTTCATCTTGCTGGAAATTTGCGCACATAGGGTAGAGAACTACTTCGGCCTAATCGCCCATTTTGGGCCTAACGAGCAGAAAACTTCAAATAAATCCATGATTTCAGAGTTAACAAATCAATTATGCGTTTGGTACGATACTTTAGCTAATAAGCTACCGAAAAAAGTCAATGAGAACGCGTGATATGAAGGTTTGCACCGATATTTCCCAAAAACAAAAGGACCGCTCCGACCGAATCAATTTTTATCTTCATCCGATAGGCCGAGGTGAATTCATTGTCGTTTCAATGGCCAATGGCGTTTCAATGCGTTAGGCCGAGTTTGGTTTCACTTTATCAAATGTACAGAAAGGTAAATAAATTTGGAAGCCATCAGTAAAAATAACATTCTGTTTCGTGCTAAACTGCGCTAGATTAAGAAATACTAAATGCGGGTTGTAGTTAATAGGCCGGAAATGGGGCCTCCCTTAGCTTAGTCGGTAAAGGCGCAGCTACAAAGCAAGACCATGCTGGAGGTGGCTGGGTTCAATTCCCGGTCCGGTCTAGGAATTTTTCGGGTTGGAAAATTTCTCGACTTCCCTGGGCATAGAAGTATGATTGGACTTGCCACACAATTATACCAATGCAAAAATGGTACAGGCATCGAAAGCTCTCAATTAATAACTGTGGAAGTGCATCTAGAACACTAAGTTGAGAGCACGCAATAAGCTAATATGCGATATGCAATAAGCTTGAAATGCGAAGAAGAAGAAAGAAGAATGGGGTAGTTAACCCTATATCCTGTCCACAGAAAGTTAGGCACACTGAGGCAAACAGACTTAAGAATTTCATAAGGCTCGACTTATGAACGACACATATGAATTTCATAAGTGCGACATATGAAAGATTTTCGTCTAACATAACCCTAATAAAAAATAACCATAAACGAACGCTAACCCTAATCATTGAAATATTCCACAAATGGTTTGGATGATACCCAGAACACGTCGTTAAGCAAATTAACCATACAATTTTTATTAGGGAAGGTTGCTCTTATACGCCTTTAGCCATTTCATTCACCCAAGCGTCGACAGACGAGTGGTCCAGACATAGGACCCGTAATCTCAACGTCCATGGTTCGGTTCCAGTCTGCTCCGTTTTATTACTTTTTTGTCGACATTATTTTTCATAAGGCAAATCTATGAAATTCATATCGATTTCTTGTGACTAAAATTCATAAGTGGTTCTTAAGTAATTCTTACGTTCTTTTGCCTCGGTGCAAACGAGCCATGGATAACTTTCAAGGAATTATCAGTGCTGCTAAATGCTGAATTTACCTAGCCACCTGATGTCAGTATCAGTTCAAACAGTTAGAATATCAATATCATTCGCCTCAATGTCAGTGTGCAAATGACATTGAAATCGTAAAGGAACCACTGATATTCAAAGTTCTGCCGCATTTTTTCTTATATACGCCTGCTAATCGAGTACCGATCTTTAGAAAACTAATCAGAAATCTAGTCAGTAATATTAAAACTATGCAACGGATATACAAAAAAGTTGATTTTTTGAAATAAAAGTAAGATTTTCATCTTTTCCCTAGTGATATTCATATGGATAACAATATCAAAGCCTGATATTATGCTTACCAAGAATATCAGTGTCAAACATGCTTGCAAATGCTCATTACAGCTAAAATGCTATTTTTCGGATTTATGATGCTATGAAATATTTTAATGATAATTATTATTTACAAGATGCAAGAAGAGAAGGTAAAGTGTGTGTATGACACAAAAAACCTGTCAATTTAGCTTTTAGAGGGTCACAATAGCTATTAGCTGTAATTATGAGCAAACGCAGGACATCTTAAAATTTTACCGACATCTACTGTCTAAAGTCTCTCTATTGTTCCCTTGTACGATTGACGCTTGAGTATTGTTCTGCGGTTTTCACACTAGAAAACGGTACCGAGAGAAACGATTCTGTTCAACGTCACTTTTTTCGTTCGCTTGGAATGATCCGTTTTGGCTACCCAGCTACGAAAGCCGTTGTCAACTTAGATCCATTCCGGACTAGAATGGACACTTGCCGAGCCTTGACCATCGCCGATATCCTACAGGGAAGGATAGATTACGAAGCTATCCTGAGGCAAATCGACCTGTATGTTTAATCCCAACCACTTCGTAACAACTTCATGCTAAGGCAACCTTTGCGTCGCACGAACGATTTGCGGGCTACAACGAGTGTTCAACAGAGTCGCATCTGTCTTCGACTTTAATTTCACCCGTGATGCGCAACGTCGAAAAAAAAAATCCGTTTTTGCTGGCAGGAGTTACTGACTATAAGATTAATGTTTTTATGTTATTACCATGCTTTAATAAACTTTCTTTTTTGACGTAGGAGTACGTCTGTGATTTCTATATGGGGGTACACTTTGTGAAAACCAAAAATGGAACATGTAACAAAATTATGAAAGATTTTGAACGTTAATAGCTCAACTGCCCCTGGACCAATTTCAATAATTTTATCACCAATCGATCAGATATGTTTCTACGCATCTGTTAAATTTAAGATTTTATCATTTTTCAAAACTGTTGCTTTGATAATTAAAAATTATCACCGATTGCCTGCGAAAAGCGATTTCCCTAACACAGATTTCAAAGTTGAATTCCATCCGGTATCTCCAAACGGTGTTTATTCAATCACCGCGTGGTGAGTGGTGGTGTTCTCCAGTATACAACGAAAGGCTGCCTGCAAATAGCGAACTGCAGCCCACATGAGCATCCATAGAAGGAGGAAGAAGCCGTACCGCTATTAATCGGAATCAGTAGCTCTTCGTGAGTTGCTGTGGGCCATCTATGTCAAGCGCGTCATAGTAAAGAGTATAAACAGAGAGAACCCCGCCTAAATTCCTGTTCCTACACAAAAGACAAGCTCCTGCTGCAGTTAACTAATAAGAATTATTATATAAGACCACGTAGTCCTACGTCACCATTGCGTACAACCCCATAGGGCTGTCCCTTGTAGTTTCTTTTTTAAATTTTATTTGAATGTATTTGACATGTATATGATTCCCTTGCGCTGAACTGGCTGGCTTGACCTACCGCAAGGGCTCAGTAAGGGTTCCTACTTGTAGCGACCTGAAGCTAAGTGCTAGTTCCACAGTGACAATATCACATCATTAAGTTTTACTAAATTGTTGTACTAACCCTTCATTTCGATGATTGTATGATTGCCGAAATGGGTTAGTGATGTGATATTGTTTATACAAGCTGAGCAGTGCGTGGGGCTATGCAGTGTTCAGCTTGTATTATTTTCTTTGTTTTATTGCAAGTATAACGGTTTTCTCTTTTTGTTGTTTTCTATGTCACATTACAAACCATATCAAATGTATTACGGACCGAGCGCTCTTTCGGATGCTGAGCGGACTGTCATCTGCACGAGGAGCGATTTTAATCCGCCCAGTTTTGAAGACATTCCGGAGCGAGGATCCATTGATGGACGTTGCATATCCAGAAACATATTACAACAAGAGAAGGAAGTAGGATTGAAGGTAAACAAGGAGTACATAGGAACGTCGAAAACTGTAAGTATACTCCGATCTATTCTAGTACTCTTGTATAAAACCTATTGTAAACTGGCTAGATCGTAGTCGTCGTCGCCGGTCATGTGAGGATTGGCAGATCCGTGATCACAAATGATAAAGCACACAAGGTTCTCAAATTAAATATATTGCACGGGTTGGGTCGCACAGAGGGTTGATTAGATTTAAATTGCTTTGAAATACCCGCATGAACGATAACTATAAGGAGTGCATACAACCTATTCGGGTTATCATCCCAACAATATTCGGTACGGTGGCACGATTTTTTGGTATCGTTCATGTATGGTGCTCGTTTATTAAGGCAGCTATAAACCCAAAGCTGGTTCACACAATTCGTCATAAGGGTCGCTGACGCTCATTGCACGCTCTTTCGTTCTCCGGCTGATTGAATGGATGACGGAGTTTGACAGCGGGAGGGCGAGAGGGATGACGGGTTCACTGGGTCTTACATATTTACATCTCATTGATGGCTATTCAGTACACGGTGTCCCTTTTACAAATTTATTTCTGATAGGTAAATCACAGTTTAAAACTCACTAATAATCTCCTTCAATCTCTTTTAATTTCTTTTTCATTGACGGTGTGATGTAATCGATGCGCTATGTGACGAGAGCGCAAACAAGACGAGGCCATTGATCAACGATACGATAATAACTTATGCGCTTTTCACACAAAACCTACCCAACCCTTTTCCTTTCTACAATCCCTGAGCAGCTTGTTCACCATAAGTGTACCTCGCAGAACTTTTTTAACCCCCATGGGTAAAGATGCTGTGTTGCTAACTCCTGTCCCCTTCCCTGGTGTATTTTGGATGGTGTGAATATTCATATCGGTGACATGGCCCTTGACCCCCTTGTACATCATAAAATGAAAATAAAAATGAAATATAGTTGACATGTATATGATTAACATCATTGGGACTACAGCCAGCCTGTTAAATACGAATTGAAACAAAAATGTTTGCAGTTGCTTTCGACTGGTAAATAATTTGGAAGGGATTATTTCAAATTGGCTGTGATATCTGCGAAATTAACGCCGATTAACTTTTTCCTGTTATTATTATATGAATAGATACAATACATTTTCTTTCTTTCTTGACTACAAAACATCATTTCCTCTGGTTAGGTATGGAAATCCTACTGGTCTCTTTAAAAAGCATTCATCCTACATATAGCCTACAATATAGCACTTTCAGAGAAATCTCATCCAAATCATTAAAATCATATCCGGTTACTTTCCACGACACTCAATTAAAAGAAGGCACATAAAACAAGAAACAAGACTCCGAATAGAATAAATATAATGCTTGTAATGGCTTGGAGCGAGTTCGCGACTGTTGGAATATTTTGTTTGTAGCTAGGTAGATAGCTGGGTCGATTTCCGTTCTTTTAGAATAAAAGGAATGGTGTGTTAGTATCGGTAGAGGTATTCTATCTGATTCTTTCGATTTTATATCGGAGTATGAACCATGAGCAATTATTAATGGTTGGTTGTTTGATGTAATGGCAAATAAATACGCTTCGACTAAGACAATAATTAACGTGTTCAACAGACAATCAAAACAACAATTGACACTTTCCAGCTCGGCTTCTGTCTTTGTCAGAGTGTTAATGGTTTCCCTTGAAATGTTAGAGAAGGAGGTAATATCTTGACCTCAGTACGTACATTGTAACATGCATGCAAATAACTGTAATACTTTAAAACTGCCTGTCCAAAAACAATAGCAATACGTCCGTTTAGCACACGTAGTGTATACTAGCAGTTAATAGTTGGCATTGATTTCTTTTCCGCTCTGAACCAGTTCCTGGATGTTCTGGTACTCAATATCGTCGGTGAAGAATCGGGTCAGAAATTTAAATGTCGGCCTGCTCTTCGGATTGTAGTTCCAGCAGTTTTTCATGATGTCGAACACCTTATCCGGGCATATGTCCGGTTGAGAGAGCCGTTGACCGTTCTCAATCAGTTTGATCACGTCCACTCCCTTCATGTCGTGGTACGGTGGGGCACCGAGCGAATACATTTCCCACAGCGTAACCCCGAAGGACCAAACATCGCTAGCGTGGGAAAAGGTTCCAAAATTGAAACTTTCCGGTGCATACCTGGAGAAAAAAGAATCCGTCAGGATTTTGAAGTTGGCTGCATACTGGCAAAGCACTTACCATTTGATGGGCCACTTTCCGCCCTGGCTAGCATGATAGTAATCGTTCCCGGCACCAATTGCCCGCGACAGGCCAAAGTCGGATATCTTGGCCTGGTAGCGAGACGCTAGCAAAATGTTTCGAGCTGCCATGTCCCGATGAACAAAGTGGTGCTGTTCGAGATATTGCATTCCTGAAGAAAAAGAAACGGATACGATAATGTATTGCAATGATCGGTAGTGCGGAGCAGTTACTCACCACATGCAATCTGCGCAGCCCAGATGATCAATTCATGCTTCGGACTAATCGTATTCTTGTTGGCAATGATGTAGTCCAACATCGAACCCTGCGGTACCAACTCCTCGACCATCATCAGCGGTGGTCCCTTGCAAATACCGATCAGCTTCACAATGCAGTGGTGTCTAAGTCGGATCATAACGCTAGCCTCTCGCAGGAAATCCGCCCGATTTCGTTTACCCTGGCTCTCGACCAGCTGTTTGATGGCAATTGACGTAAACTCGGACGGTTCTTGTCCTCCCGGGATGAGTTGGTCCGTGCCGGGTTCCAGCTGACACGGTCTCAGCAAGCCCTGATAAACATATCCGAATTCACCACGTCCCAGTATTTTCTGAGTCAGGATACACTCCTTGGGAATGAAGTAGTTGGGTCGATTGGATATACTGCGGTTCAGTCGCATATGCAGTCGGTCATCTTCGTCCTGTTGCTGTTGGATAATGGAAAGGAATTCGGAATCGCCACTTTGAATGCTGTCGCGACTGACTGTAGACATGTTGGAATCCAACCGGTCGAAAGCACCACCCGAACGGAATGCTGCTAGCAAAGCAGGAGGTGGACTGATCGGTGATGTACATTCTACCGTTGAAATGCTAGTGGCAAAGACCGGAACGTTCCGAGTGGCGATGTAGTTAGTTGCCGTAGGTGGTTTCATCGGTGTGCTGTTGGAGTCTATCGGGGGGAGCTGTGGATAAACCCATGGTTATTTGTGTTATTATTATTGTTAATAGAATAATGTACCTGAACAGGAGGATTCGGAGCCGGGGTCGCTGGCGGTGCATCGATGAAATAAATTTCCTCATTACTATTGTCCAGCTGACTTTCGCCGTAGATGTTCTTATCGCTTTCGACGAAATAATCTATCGAAGGGTTCATATCATTCGCAGTTGCTTCTGAAGATCTTCTCGAACCGAGTGCACTGTGCAACGGAGGGCTCCCGACGGGTTGTACGTTATTGTTATTGATACTGTCGACGTTACGGCTGGACGGAACGGCGGGTGGTTCGCCAAAGTCGATATCCACGATGGCACAATTATTGGGCGGGGATTGGTACACTGCATCGGATTGGTCTGAATGACTTGCTGGAAGGGCGAAATCCGACGAAAATGATAATTGTTGCAAGACTTTGTCCGAACTGATTTGTTCAATCAGACTATCTCGGTTCAGTTGGCTGTCGGGTTCTACCGGAAGCTTTTGTTTGATTTTACTTTTCCTCAAGCTTTTCATACCATCGATGATGATATTTTTCTTTTTCTTCAGAGTCGAACTATTGGATTTGGATTTGTTTTCGTCAATGTTCGGTGAAGACTTGGGTGTGGAAGTTCTTTCGGGACTGCGATCAAAAAGCCCAACCTTGTTCATCTGCTGCAGGATACTGTCATTTGGCACCGAAAGATTCCGAGCTGGCACTGCCGGATGCGCTGGTTTGTGGAGACTGTTGTCGCTTAACTTGCGGAAATATGACGTGGTTCCATTGTTGCCTGAGTTGGCTAGCTGAACTGGAGTTGAGCTAGCTCCCGGGCTAGTTGTTGCTTTATGTTTTGTTTTTGGTATCGTAGAAAACAGAGGAATGGGTGGTTTGGGCTTCGGAGGAACCGGATGTTTGAGGTTGGTTTGAAGTCCATCTGAAAACCTACTGTAGTGTTCAATCAGATGTTCCAAAGAGGGCATGTAAGGTCCATCGTCTATGTAGAGGTAATTTTGATTCCTTCGGATGATGAAATGCTTCGCTTCGTTCTCGTATAGCAACGTGAGAACATCAACGCCATGCTTGGTTGAGTATCGCACTAGATACACTCCAGACGGGTCATGTTGTTCGCTTTCATCAGGTCTCGGGTCGTTTTCCTTGTTTTCCTTTCCCGGGGAAGAAGGCGTTAGTTTCTTGGTATGCTCCTTCAGGCTCTCCATCGCAATCTGCCTCTCCAAGGTGCCATGGTACCACTGGCTTTTGTGGGTGCTTGCCGGCGGAGGTGCATAGTTTGTCAAGAAGTCTACCACCGCAGCATGACCTTTCTCTTTGGCCAAATCCACCGGCAGTTCTCCGTAGCTGGTTCGAGGCATATGAGGAACGCGCAGTGCTAGCAGTTCCTGAACGGTTTCCAAGTTGCCATTGGCAGCTGCTTCATGTAGTGGCACCCATCCGGTTTCTTTGTTCCGTGCTTGCACGTTGGTTCCCGCGTTTATCAACAGGCGAGCCATCTCCAATCCTGTCGATTTGCGGCAGGCGTACTGGAACGGAAGAAGGTGATGACGATTATATTTGGGGTTGTTGGAAAACATGGAGCGAAATTGCCGAGTGGGTAGGCTTAGAAAGCTCTCAATTACAGGGCTGTTACAATAAGTGCGAATTGCGCGATATTCGCGGATTTGAACTTTCATTCGTGAAAATCGTGGAAACATTAAATGATGTGCTATCATAAAAATTACGGAATTAATTTTAATGGCGCGAATCGTGTATGGCAATTTTTAGGAAAAATTATCACGATTTTCTTCACGATATTATGATGTACAGAGTAGTGATACCAACATTCCAGTTTAAACTGAATTCTTCCAGTTTTTTTGGACGCATCCAGCCAAACAGTTAAAGTTTAAAATCTTCCAGTTTTTTGAGAATTTATCCATTATTAATAGCAAAATATTTTGAAGTATGATTATTAGTAAGATGCTTACACTTTAAATATTTATATTGGAATTTAAATCTGGAAATGTAGTATCTAATTCAAATGCAATATTGCAATTGAAATCTGAAAAATGCGTGGTAATGCTAATGGTGACGATCAAGCTCACTTCATGGCAACGGGTAAGGCGTGCTATGTCACAGCATCGACACGCATATTTTGCATATTATGTCAAAGTTAACCTAATTTTATGTTGAGAACTTTTTTTTTTGCTAGTTCGTTTATTTACTAGGCTCAGTCGTGTGTGACATTTTGCGGAGCTAAAATCAGTAATGTTTGAATTTACATTTTAAATAGCAGTAGTTCTAGGTTAGTATTGGGTACCAATTACTCGTGGCGGGCTCGAGGTTAATGGGTAACAATTTCGATTGGAAGGAGCTAGGTAGGAAGCTGGTTTCTGAAGCCTCCTTCAGATACTACTCTCGGACGGTTGACCAAATCCTGGCTGGGCAAGGGCAAGTAGCACAGGAACAGGAGGATAATAAGACTGGGACACAATGGCGGGAAATTGTTTGGAAAGGAGGGGATGGTCACATCAAACTCTAACATCAGACAAACAAAGGAATTCGTAGATCGCTTGCATGTAGGGAAGATCACGTGTTCCCAATACATCTCTTACTTCACGGAAGGGTTGTCTACCTCGGGCCACTAGGGTATCCAACAGTCGTGCTCTGGAGGCGTCATTACTCGGGCAATACCAAACTGGGTGATCGATGTCATCATAACCGGTTCTGCACCTACATATATTGCTGTCAACGAGGTTTATTTTATAGAGATGTGCGTCTAGCGAGTAGTGGTTGGACATAAGTCTTGACATCACTCGAATGAATCCCCGACTTACATCCAGACCTTTGAACCACGCTTTCGAAGAAACATTTGGAATAATGGAATGTAACCACCGCCCAAGAGAATTACTTGTCCAATTGTTTTGCCAACTTAAAAGAGAACTCTGACGTACTAATGGGAAAAATTCATCATGTGAAATTCTTCTATCATAAATCTCGCCTTGTTGTGCGCCCACCTTTGCGAGAGAGTCTGCCTTCTCATTGCCTGGGATTGAGCAATGTGAGGGGACCCATACAAAGGTAATCATATATGATCTTTCGACCAAACCAAACCAGCAAACTCATCTGCTCCCTTACTTTTGAAAGGAAATAAGATGAATGCCTACCTTGTTTCATCGACCGAATAGCCTCAATCGAACTGAGACTATCCGAGAAGATGAAGTAATGGTCTATGGGCATATCGGAAATCATCCCCAATGCGAAGTTGATTGCTGCTAGCTCAGCAACATAAACGGAACAAGGTTCCTGAAGTTTCCGAAAGGCGGTTGAGTATTCATTGAATACGCCGAAGCCAGTGGTTCTATCAATGCGTGATCCATCAGTGAAAAATCTTCTATTGCAATTGACTTGTTGGTACTTTTCAGCAAAAATGCGGGGAATTGAGATAGGTCGAAGTTGATCTGGAACTCCTTGAATAGCCTGTTTCGTGGAGAGATCATAGTCAATGGGGGAACTGTAGTTAGTAAAGCATACACGAGAGGGGTTATAGCAAGGAAGGCTAATATCCGATGACATATAATTAAGATAGATTCGCACGAACCTAGACTGGATGCTCAATTCGAGCATTTCTTCGAAGTTTTCAATCACAAGGTTGTTACTGACACTAAATTTTATTAATATTCTTAATGAGAGCTCCCAGAAACGGTTCTGCAGGGGTTTTACGCCCGCTAGGATCTCTAGGCTCATATTGTGAGAACTTGTAACAAATGAGTATGTTTCAGAACAGTGAAACCATCTAAAATCTTGCCGTCAATAATGTATCTCTGTTCTTTATCTTTTAATATTATTTGAAATTATCGGAGCTTCTTATGCCTTCGTTATTTTCTCTTGTGAATTTATTTAATGAAATCGAAGTAATATTTTAGCAGATTCGTATGCAGGATGTTTACTCATTCTGCTAAATGTCGCTAACCGCTGACAACTAGTAGAGCTGTAAAAACGAAGAAAAGAAACGCGTTGATTGAGTGTGACCTCGTATTATTTTTCGTCTACGTAAATTGTTAAAAATTCATAATTGTTTGATTTTACTTTGAACTTTGATGATCTCAATCATTCAAATCATATGTTATTTACTATTAATAACTTCAATGGGACACATAATTCCCAACTACATAACCTCACTCTCTTGAGGCCTGCTAAGTGGATAAGGCCCACTGTTTTGTAAGATTTGCATTTCAAATACATTTTGCAATATATTAAACTAAACATTGTAACATTTTAGCTTTGAAGCGTAATAAGTAGCTCTCAAACATCAGTGGATGCATTTTCTTTGGCCTCCGGCGAAAACAACTATATTTCCAAAAACGATTTCATGACAATCAGTTTTGCAATCAAAACCATTCAATGTTTTTTCCTTGATTTGTTTTCCGTCGATCTTGTTTTCTGTGCTGAGCACCAATGCTACCGACGCCAGGGAGGCAGCTCCCACACCTGGACCCTACCTATTGACCCATCAACTCATGAACCGGGGACCAACGAGTTTACTTCCCTTAACATCATCAGAGATGTTATGCCTCAGAACATCCCGGCGGCGCCGACTGGGATTGAACCCAGGCCTGCTGAGGTGAGAGGTAATCACGCTTACCACTACACCACCGGTGCCGCTAACCTTTCAAAGTTGAAGTTTAACATTTACGTTTCATAAAATATCAAAGCCTTAAAGTTTCGAACTTTAAGTCCGGTCTCTAGAAACTTTTCAAAGTGCCAAAATCTCAGAATTATAACAATGAAATATCAGATTAATTTAGCTCGCAACCTAAAATTTAAAAATTCGGCATTTCAAATATGTTTGTTAATTTTGGAACTTAAAAAGTTCACGTTCCCTATCCGAGCCCTAATCTTCTCTCTAAGGGGGGCTCCATGTTTGGAATATTTAATTTTAAATAAAACACCCTGAACCCGAGGGACGATCAACTTCATTCAGCTGAATTGTAAATAAAGGGTGTCCACGATGAAATTGCCACACACAAAATTGATTCGCAAAATTCGAGTTTTCATCCGATTGCCATCAAATTTTCAGGGATTGAGAAATAACTATTAAACTTCATTTTACCATTTTACTCGTATTTTATTTACAGTCCATACGCAAATGCCCGCACCTTGGCCTTAACCCCGGCCATAAGATTCTGCACAACCTGTGAATCAACCGTTTTTTGCATGTAAACCCATACTTTCTTCAGTTCCTCGACTGTCTTCACTACCTTAGGTCGTTTAAGAAGGTGCTGCTTCATAATCGCCCAGTACTTCTCGATGGGGCGGAGCTCCGGAGTGTTGGGAGGGTTGAACATTTTCGGCACGAAATTGACCTTATTGTCCGCATACCACTTCAGCACGTCCTTGGAGTAGTGGCATGAGGCCAAATCCGGCCAGAAGATTGTTGGGACGTTGTGGGCCTTCAGGAGAGGAAGCAGCCGCTTCTGGAGGCACTCTTTTATGTACACCTGTCCGTTAATCGTGTCCTGGGTCACGAAAGGTGCACTCCGCTTCCCGCACGTGCAGATGGCTTGCCAAACCAGGAATTTCTTCGCAAATTTGGACATCTTCTGAGTGCGGACATGCTCCGGAACGCTGAACTTATCCTTGGCCGTGAAAAACAGGTTGCCGGGGATCTGTTTGAAGTCGGCCTTCACATATGTTTCGTCGTCCATGATGCAGCATTCAACTTTCGTCAGCATGTTGAGGTACAACTTCCTGGCACGGGTTTTGGCGGACTTGTTCTGCTTCTCGTCGCGATTAGGGGCCTTTTGTACCTTGAACGTTCGAAGCCCAGCCTTAGTTTTGGCCTTCTGGACAAAACTTCGGCTTAGGTGCAGCTTCTTAGCCACATCCCTAACGGAGGCGTTCGGATTTCGGTTGAAGGCCCCAACTACGCGGTTGTGATTTTTGGTGTTGTACGGAATACTTTTTCCTTCACTTCTGGGCTTCCGATCGGTGGTCAACCGTTCCTCGAACCGCTTAATCACTCGCGACACCGTGGAATTCGCGATTCCCAACGTTTTAGCGATGGAACGATGCGAGAGATCCTTGTTCTCGTGATGAATGCGCAAGATTTTATCACGCACGAGCTGTTCTTTCGACTCCATTTCCGCGAGTTTTGATCACAGGACTTTAAAACTTGCAGGATGTAAATAATGCACTATGAACTAGATCCACCCAAATTTTCATTAAATTATACCCAACGGTTAAAAAGTTAGAGCAATTTCATAGTGTGGCAATTTCATCGTGGACACCCTTTATAGGGTGTCCCACATCAAATTGTATCACCGAAAAAACGCTGTAGAAAATTAACCGTTGCCTATTTTCTCTTGAAAATTTGGGTAGAAGTCGTTTAGAGTGTATTGTTTACACTGTATTTTTATCGCTGTCAGTTTTTCGAAAGTTGGAAAAAATGGCGTCACCCGAAAAGCAACGTCACGAATTGATTTTGCGCAAGTACCTGGAAAATCCTCAACTCTCTCATCGGGACATCGGAAAACAACTCGGAGTCCTGCAGTCAACGGTGAGTCGTATGATTAAACATTACTACGAAACTCTGAGCATCGAACGGAAGGAAAAATGCGGTCAGAATGGATGTTCTAATAGTGATCAGGATCACAAACGTGTCGTGAAAGCGTTTAAGCGGAATCCCAATGTTTCGGTAAGGGATGTGGCCAAAAAGTTGCGTTCAGAGAGCCAAGGACTGGGAGGGACTCGAGGGGGGCGACACATCTAAATCTCAATTCTAGATGCTCAAAAAATCTCACACTAGCGAATCAATCTTCGAAAAATCATCTTTCAATTCTCGCATCTACTTGCATCGTGCTTCATCTTTTTGCAGGAAATCTTCAAAATCGACATAAATCTTCGTTTTATCTACTCAGCGTACGTGCAGCTAGCCACAGCAAAACAATCTTTTCTGCATCGTAGATAGAGTCGCCCCCCTCGGAGGGACTGCATACGTACAAAGTGCAGAAGGCTCCAAATCGTGACGAACGGGAAATTACGGTGGGAAAGTCACGGGCCCGGAAACGTACACCCAGATGCTGACGAAGCCTTACTATCTCATCATGGATGATGCAGGCCAATGACAAGGTCTATACCAACAGCAGCGTTTGACAGTAGGCAGCATGTCCAGGGCTCAAATCGTTTATTTTGCTGTGCTGGGCCCGCTGTAACGGTATAATATGTTGCCTACGCGCCTGCCACTGGGCTGGGATGATGAGACTTACGTCATGGCGGACTTCCGGCAGCTTCCGTACTGTTCTTCTCCGCCCAGCACAGTTTTGATGTTCCGGAGGAAGTAAGGAAGCAGAAACTTTCAAAGTTTGCCCAGAAATACATGATTTGGCAAGTGATCTGCTCATGTGGCAAACGGAGTGCGCCGTTCGTGACTACCGGGACTGTAAACGGGGAGATCTACCTCAAGGACTGTCTACAGAAGCGTCTGCTTCCTCTGTTGAAGCAACACGAGCGCCCTACGATCTTCTGGCCGGATCTAGCTTCGTGTCACTATTCAAATGTTGTCCTGTGTACGAAGCCAACAGGGTCGCTTTCGTATCCAAGGATAATAGGCTTAACTGATTCAATTGAAGGTAATTTCTGTAGTTTTCATTAAAAAATATTGATTCTGTTGAAATGGGAACAATGCACTAACTTATTTTAACGTATATTTCTTTCAATTGGGTTCTTTAATTTTGAAAAATGTATAGTTTTTTAGACATCATCTGAAAGAGCTTCGTTTTCGGAGCACAGCGATATTTTTTTCGAACCCACACACGTTTATCTCGATTTTTAAATCAAGATTTAAAGCAAAATAATAACTTCGCTATTTGACACTAAACTAACAAACTGAAAGCTCGCTTCCATACAAAGTGACACCGAGGGGCGCTAATAAGGTGATTTTTTGCAAATGTAATCGTACTTATTTAAAATAGTTCCAGTGTACCAAAATTGATGAAATTTTGGGTTTGGGTTTCATTTTTAATGCAGATTACGAATATGCATTTACCTCAATACCCTTAAAGAACCCAATTAGTAGAAATGATTCGAAACATTATTCGTGATTTTCTCAGATTCAACTTTTAGAACATGGGACAGATATGCGTAGAACGGCAGTATACATAACCGTTGTAAACTCACATTGATAAACTTGCGATGTTTGCAGTTAATTTTATCAATAAAAAAACGTAAAAAATGCTTTTATTCGGAGTAAGATTGCCACTAAACTTGAGAAAAATCTAACCTGAAAATTCGCTCCTAAGTTCTGTTAAAAACGTAAACAAAGTTCCTGCTTAGTGCGCTTAGAGATATTTAGCAACTATAAACGAGTTTCTGGCCGTAAGAGCTGGACCAAAGAGAACTTGGCTGCGGCCCTAAAAGCAGTGGATACCGTAACATCTTTAAAACGAGCTGCTACCGTGCACGGAATTTCACAGAACACGTTAAAGCGGCATCACATGCTTGTTATGCCAATCAGGGCCGCATGTAGCCTAGTCGGTATTATAAAGCCGGACCGGTCGAGGAAAATCTCTCTACTTTCCTGGGCGTAGAGTATAATTGTGCTTGCCACACAATATACAAATTCATGCATTGGTTGGCATATAAAACTGGTGCATCTAGAACACTAAGTTGAGAGCCGACAAAACGCTCGCTACATAAGCGTAAAAGCCCAGAGAAAAAAGGATGGTTTCTACTCACATGCAGTGGTGTATTTCCTTGCGTATCTCTGTTGTTGATGTTGGCTCCTCCCTCGATCAGCTTTTCCAAAATGTTCGCCTCGGCATAAAGACATGCTAGGTGGACAGCCGTTTGACCGTGTTCATTTTTTGAATCGATGTTCTTATATCCACACTTGATCATTTCCGATACCACCGTGTAATTGCTTTTTTCCGTAGCCCTGTGTAGTAGGTTCTCTTTCCCGTGGCTCCGGACATCGTGCGGTGGGGGACCACTTTGGCAAACCGTCTGCAGCCTTGTCACCAGTCCGTTGGAAGACTCCCGATAGTGTTCGATCAGCGAATCTAATCCATGGATCGGCATGTGATCGTCGATCGAAAAGAAAGCATCGTCCCCGTGACGGCGGATCTGGTAGTGGACTACCTCGTCTTGGAATAGCACCGACAGGACAAAATCCCCCTCGGACGAGGTACTTTCTCGCACCATGAACACACCATCGCTACCTTCTGTATGTGGTAGGAAAAAGAAGTTAATAATTTAGGTTAGTGGATTGCGGAATGTTGTGATTTAGTTTTATTACGATCGTGCAAATAAATGCTCACAGCTTACAAGGTAGTCAAGTGCATTTTGCTGACAAGAGAAAAGAATGCTAAACCCGTTATGTTTTCAATAACAATAGGTCAATTGCATCACAATTAAATATGATTTCAAACAAATTCCGTTATAAAATATAATTTTAAATCCCGGGCGGAATTAAATATTATCTGCAAATTTAAAGTCCAGTAAATTTGCTTCCACTTAAAAACGCAAAGTGAATGATCACTCGTTATCACTTTCTACCTTTGTGTAAGATATCGTAGCAGTAGGTTATAAGTGTGTGTGGTTACCTTGTCTTAGTATCTCCTCTGCCCGTTCACGTGAAATCTTCCCGTGGAACCAGCACAGGTTTTCTTCCCGGTTCATTCTGATGATGTACGATTTAGTCTGCAATATTCATAACAAAGAGAAAAAAAATGAATAAAGAACAACGATGTACATGCAACAGATCTGATCTTAGCCTAATTCAGCTGTAATTACTAATCGCCACCTTCCGAAGGTCAATGCTGCACAACATATACGCGGAATCAATCCATTTCGATTATCAATTCTTGGGAATCGTGATACTGCTAATCCACGTTCCAGAAATCGTCAAATTCTTGCAATGCTATTTATAGCATCTGATATGATCCACGTACAACGCTGCATGGCACTGCACACATAGTTTTCCAGATTCCATTTTATCAATCAGCAGTTTTGTCATCTTTTGGGGTAAGACTAAGGCAAAAATAAGATTCTTACCAGAACTTTAACTTGCACGGGCCGTACAAATTCGAAACACCTTACACAAAATATAATTCTAATAGCACACACATACTACTTCCACCAAACCAATCAAAATAGTTTGAATATATTTAAAATAAATAAAATAAAATAAAATAGGATATTTAAAACAGAAAAGTTTCTCCAACACTTGACACCACAGATGTATACTCTTTTGCTGCTACGAAACTAAAACTTTCATTATACGGGGAGTAGATATAGCACTGTACTCTGGAGATTTTGATTGACGTCTTCGACTGTTGCTGGTCTGCTCTCGCACGTTGGTGTTGTCAAGAACCAGGGTAAGGGGTGAACGAGGCAAATATATGTTACTACCCGTATCTGGTTGTACGTCAGACCGAACAAAAGGGGGAAAAAGCATGAATGAAAACCCTGGTGGTGATTTGCAGTGCGTTGCAGCTTAACATAGGAGTTTGAAATAGTTGAGATATTACTGGACATAGTTCAAAATAAGACAAAAACAAAAATTGCGAATTATTTGCAAAATATTTGTTATTTCAATGCTTGAAATTTTCTGAAAAAAAAGACTTTCTATGTCACGCGATTAGTAATCCGGGGGCAAATTGATCACCAGGGTGAAATTGATCAAAATGCCTTGCATTTTTAGCTATCCCATATAAAACTTTCCGTTAAAGATTTCAAGAGGCATTTTTATAGTAATTCATCAAGGGACTGTATTGTTTTGATGAATTTTCTGAACAAAAAGGTATATTTTGGTTGTTTAACTTCGAAAAATATACCGATTTTATACATCATTTGATAAAGCTTCTTTTGATTTCAACATTCATCTCGATTTTTAAATCAAGATTTAAATTTTTGATCGTTTACACTAAATCTAGTCGTTGAGAGCTTGCTCCTTACAAAGATCCACCAAGGGGCGCTAAGATGGTGATTTTTGCTAATGTAATCGTACTTATTTAAAATAGTTCCAGTGCACCAAAATTGATGAAATGTTGCATTTCGGTTCCATTTTTAATGCAAATACCGAATATGTATTTACCTCAATACCCCTAAACAACCCTAATAAAATTGTTATGGTTACTTTGCTTAACGACGTGTTCGGGGTATCATCCAAACCATTTGTGGAATAGTTCTATTATTTGGGTTATCGTTCGTTTATGGTAATTTTTTATTAGGGAACCCAATTAAAATTTTATTTTACTGCCATTCAATCCCTAATAAAAATAACCATAAAAGAGAACTTAACGACGTGTTCAGGGTATCCTCCAAACCATTTGTGGGATAGTTTACCCATTCGGGATACAGTTCGTTTATGGTATTTGTTTATTAGGGATAGCAATGATGATATTCATCATTCAAACCAACCATTATAGGCCTTCAACAACTGTTTTTGTTAGCATGCACTAAGGTGTCAAAGGTGTCCCACACATGATTTTTTGTAATTTAACCAACAAATGATATCTATGTGTCGGACACATACTTAATATGTGTACACTACACGAAACGAAAATCAATTACTTTATTCATGTGTTTCACTTATACATTGTTGCCAAAACATCAGCCTAAGACAAACCACATAGGTCCTATAAAATGCATAAAAGGTATGTGTGACCGCTTATACATTTCATTTGACACATGATCTTCATTACCTTTTTGCAAGGTGTCTGCTTATTAGTTGACTTATACATGTTATGAATAATCAGCAATAGAAATTTGCGAAAAGGTATAAGGAGATTTCTATCCGTGTAAAGTGTTTCAGCGTTATATGGAAAAAGTCTACGTCTAGAACTTCCAACGCTACCCCATGGAATGGTAATATGGGGGGTCAGAAACACCCTGCCAAAATTTTGAACTTATTTGGTTCACGGGTCTAACAGCTTGAAATTTGTAGGGGGAAATCGACAAAATTCCTGGGTTCAATCCCAGGCGCCGCCGGGATGTTCTGAGGCATAACATCTAGATGAAACATCAGAAAACGTTTACATTTAAAAACATCCGAACAACGTTTAGTTCTAACGTTTTGTACATCCGAAAACATCCTTAAAACGTTTGGTTCTAATGTCAATAGATTGAAATTTTTGACGTCAGACCGACATTAGAATGGCAAAATTTTGTTCCAAAATTTCTGATGTATACACCATGTTACGTTGCTTAAATACAACTAAATCATAATGTTTTCTAATGTTTGACATCAGGCATACATTTGATTTCGATGCTGATGTAGACATCAGAATCAAACGTTGGGCTAATGTAAATTTCTATTCGGGCTCTGATCACGTCTTCCTTCGGAAGGGAAGTAAAGCTGTTGGTTTCCGGTTCATGAGTTGGTGGGTCGATAGTTAGGGTCCAGGTATGGGAGCTGCCTCCCTGGCATCGGTAGCATTGGTGCTCAGCACGGAAATCAAGATCGACGGAAAACAAATCAAGGAAAAAAAATCGACAAAATGTATGGGGGAGCGAGCTACTTTCACTTTCACGGCGCTAGGTTGCGCTGTAGTGAGTCGATTTTCACCGTGTACAAAATATACAGCTTTCTCCCGAAGAACGCGTTACCCACTGAGTTGCACCCACCGCTTTATCTCGGTGGATTTAAACAAAGCGCTCTGAATTTCTGCGAATGATTAGTTCTCCATTGACCCTACTCACATACAAAAAATCAGATCCACTGGAAACCCCGCCGAGAAAAAGCGGTGGGTGCAACTCAGTGGTTAACGCATTCTTCTGGGGATAGCTGTATAACCTTTGTATAAGCGTTGCAAAGGAACATCACCTGCATTACTTATGGGGAGGGCCTAACGCGGTTTGTGCGGTTTTTATTTTTACGAACATACGAATAGCAATGTTAGTATGAGTATAACTTTTTTGTTTCACCATGAAATTGACTGAAATTTTCACAATGAGTAGAAAAATGTTCGAAATTATGGTCTACTAAAAATTGGAGCAGATTGGCCAAGTTGTTCTGGTTTTATTCCTAGTTTCCGAGTGGCCATCGGGGTTTGAAAGGTACCAGTCCTCTAGAACAAATTAACTAAACCAACCCACAACCTGGTTCTAAATACTGAGTGTCCAGCGGAAGGCCATCTTGTGACCGGTGACCCGTATTAACCTTAATCTTGATTATTATGTATTTTTGATCAAATTAGGCCTTGATTATTCACTGCAACTATATGAAATGAGCAGCGCCGGTTGTGTAGTGATAACTCAACAAACAATCGTCTATTGAAGAAACGACTTCTTGATGATTTTATTGAATACTTGCATTATTTTAATAATAACTTCTGTTCAGGCTTTGTTCACACAAATCTGGAGAATTTATTCAACCACAACACATTGAACTATTGGTGTTGTATAAGGTATGTCGAGATGCTGTTATTCGACTTATATGAGTGGTAACAGAGCTAATTCCATAACATTTTTGATTATTCAGCGTTTATTAGACATTACTGCTTCCCCTTAATTAAAACAGTGATGCTCTGTATACGCTTGATTCTCATGTGAAGTAACGTTTAATAAGACATTATTATACATTTATTAACCGATTATTCAACTGTGGAAAATTAACCCGAAAATAAGACAGGGGGACAGGGATTTGGTTGTTAGTTATTCTTTAGAGGTGATTGTTTTCATTATTTCTAACGTTGCACGACCACACAGATATTACAAAATAAATGTCCTTGCATGGGATTCAAACCATGGACCTTCCGATCATCAGCCGTTTGCCTTGTCATCTGAGCTAACCTAGAATTCATCATGAGGGCAGCTCAATAACCAATAAAAGCTTGCTTGAAAGTGAATACCCGATCCCGATCGCAACTCTAGCTCCTTAAAGGCCCTGTGGGAATGATTAATTCATTCTTCGTTGTTTTACATGAGACCAATGTTACCTCTTCACCTCTTCAATTCCAAGGAATGGATGCTCGGTTATTTTTTAAGCTAGATCAATGCATTCATTACGACGAGTCATGTGATCGATGATTACTATTTAAATTAATTAGCGTAGAACACAAATAAAAAAAGGTTGAACTTGGGATTGAACTCACGACCTTCTACTTGGAAAGCGGAAACGGTAACTATACTGATTTCGTCTTGTTGTTAGACTGAACTAGTGTTGTGGAATAATGAATCTAATGCGTCGTTTATAAAGCATTTACAAGGCATGCGATTAAAACATGGACGCATAGTGGTATAAGAGCTATTATGCTGACTGTATCCACCTTTATTCAGCAATATTGTAAAGCAATGCAATGAAATCTAATAATGGAGCTAGAAAACACAGTCGAATTAAAGCGTCAATGTATGTACAAATTACACTTATTCAGTTTGTTATTAGATCAAACTTCTGGCGTTGAACTGGAAGACAGTCAATGTTTATACAACTTTTAATAATAAAATTAATCAGATCAGAGCAAACAGTGGAATAAATGTGCATCTATCGATCTCAATGAGCTTTTTTCAGCACATAATTCGACAACTCGTTTTATTCAGCATTGTACACTGTAATACAGCATTTATTCAATATATATATATGCTTATGTGTGACTCTGAATTGTTTGTTGGGAACTGTGGAAGTGTATCTAGTACACTAAGTTGAGATCATGCAATAAGCTAATATGCGATAAGAAATAAGCTTGAAATGCGAAGAA